TTCAGCGGCAAATATGGGATTCATTTTAGGGTTGTCTAGTTCTAGCATCTAAAAAAGTGCTCACCCTGGCTGAAAGCTTATACACTTTTCTCTTTCACCTGTAAAATTGTTTTCAAGGCTTTAATGAGTATACAGAGGCTTAAAGTAATTATATGGTAATGTGCCTTAATCAGGTGGGCCTTCTTTGGATTTAATTAACTAATCTATTTCAGAACAGCCTTTATTATGTTGCCCAGACTGGTCTTGAATTTGTGGGTTCAAGTGGTCCTCCCCTTTAGCCTCCCAAGTTGTTAGACTTACAGAATATGCACCAAAACATCTGGTTGGCACTATATGTTTAGTGGAGAAACCCCACATACACACCCTCTGAGCAAAATTTTAGAGCTGCCCTGTCCAAGACAGATTTTAAAGTTGCACTGTCCTACTACTACATATGACAAGTGCAGATTTGAAATGTGGTTAATTCAAGTTGAGCTATACTATGAATGTAAAATATATAGTACATTCAATTTTATTTTTATTTTTTGAGGGTACTAGGGATCGAACTCATGACCATACTTGCCAGGCAGGCGCTTGTGCCACTGAGCTATATTCTCAGCCTAATATACTAAAGTTTAAAGACTTACAACGTGAAAGAAGTGTAAATATCTTATTTACCCACCCACCTGGCCTGGGCCCTCTCACTTCTTTGCGAGTGCTAAAAAATTCCATGGTGGGGGATTGTTCAGAAGGCAAGAGAAGCCTCTAAATTTAAATGAGGATGTCAGAAAACTTCCTAGCAAAGTGACAATGTCTGTATCTAGGACAAATGTATCTGGGACCAAAAGTTTGCCAGCTATCTACAGCCCCTCACCCATAACCTCTAGTAATTAAATTTCCACATGGTCTTTTTTATTTTAGCTACTTTCAGTCCAGAAAAACACCTGGAGTCATCACAGTGTCAGTGACTTCCTTGAATTGGGATCAGTGGTTATGGCATGACACATGCACACACAAAGTCCTTGCGGCTATTTCTTAGCATGTCCTGGGAAGCCCCCAGTGAGCCCTGTCTCGATCACATGCATCTGCTAAGATGATCCTTTGCACTCAGCCCTGTTTAGTGAGTTTTTCTGTTCTCTATTGACTGTAAAGCCATGTAAGTATGCTGTACCTTGTAATCATTTGCTAGTGCCCTTTGTACTGCATGGGGCCAGAATATTATGTTTCTAGGGGGAAGAGAACAGTTCCTCCTCTCTGATCACTAATATTTTCAAATAAATATGTCTTTTTTTTTTTTTTTTTTTTTTTTTTTTTTGTACCAAGGAGTGAACTCACAACCTTGAGTCTGCCATGCAGGCACTTACGCCACTGAGCTAAAACCCTGGCCCACGTCATTTATTTTATCAATATATTACACTTTTAAAAAAGTCAAATAGTATCACTAGACATATAGTAAAAAACAATAGGCCCTACCCCAACCCTCTATACACTCAGTTTCTAGTCCCCAAAGATAATTTCTTTTTAAATATGTAACTATTTCCTTGGAGGCCTTCATATTTTTAAGTAGCATATTTATATACTAGTACTTAATTTTTCAGTTTGGGCCATTTTATTTCTTGCTATAAGAAAATTGGTAAATGTTTTTGTACTCTAAAGCCTTTTAAAAAATACATTATTTCTACATCTTCTGTCCCTCAATATATTTATATCAGAAAGGCTATTCATTATTTTATCATAAAGGCATACATATACTTCATCCATTGATCTAAATTAAAGACAGCCATCCCAGTGTTCTCCCCTGTCTTTCATTCTGAGTTGACTGTTCTGTACGTTAACTCACATTTTTTTGTCCTGGGATAATGTTATCCTGTCTTCCCTATTTCAGTCTTTTTGTTTTCCTGAGATTTCTGATTCCATCAATGAATGATTAAATCAAGCCAATTAACATACCCATCATGTTAAATATACAAATACCAAAAAATTGTAATGAGGATATTTCAAATTTTTCAACAACTTCGAAACATGCAATATGACATTAGCTATAATATCCTATCCACTGAAACTTTGTACACTCTAATCAACATCTTATTCTCTTTAGCCCCAGTCTCTAGTAGCTACCATTCTACTGCTATTCTAAAAATTTGATTGTTTTAGATTCCACATATAAGTAAGATCATATGGTATTTGTCTTTCTGTACCTGGGTTACTTCACTTAGCACATACTTTGTCTTTCCTTCATAAATTCCAGTGGTGGGTGTGCTAGTTATTTCATGGATGAAAAGAAAGCAAAGTCATTATCTCAGAGTAAGAATGGGGAAAGATGTTAGAATTTGAGGAGAAAACAAAAGTATGAAATAACAGTAATATAACAGGATATAACAGTAAGCCATAATCTGCAGCTTTAGTCTTATTTATTTATTCTCTTTTTGAGACAGGGTTTCACTATGTAGTTCAGGCTGGACTTGAACTCACTTTGTAGCCTACACTGGCTTTGAACTCACAGCAGTCCTCCTGCCTCAGCCTCTGGAGTGGTGAGATTGCAGGCATGTGCCACCACGCCCAGCCTAAATATCCTATTTTTGTACAGTATGCAGGATAATTTTCATACTTTATAAAGTGAAAAAGAAAATCTAGATATATTGTGACATTTAAAACATTTAATATTTAGATCTTTGATCCATTATGACTTTAGTTTAATGCATGGTGATAAGACATGGATCTAGTTGTAGTCTTTGGCATGTGGAAAGCCAGCTTTTCCAGCACCATTTATTAAAAAGGTTTTCTTCCAGTGAACCTTGTCAAAGGTAAGGTGGTTGAGTGTCTGTAGTTACGTCTGCATCTTCTAATTTGTCCCACTGATGCTCAGGTCTGTTTTATTGCCAGTACCATGCTGATTTTATAACAGTAGCTTTGTGGTATAATTTCAAGTAATTTGAGCAACTACTTTTTAATGATATGTAATATATTAACCATTGTTTTTCCTTTTTATCAGTACCGGAGATCGAACTCAAGACTGCCTGCTTGCAAGGCAGGCACTTATGCCGCTGAGCTAAATCCCCAGCCCCAACCATTGTTAACTTGTTACTTTGTTTTGAATTCTGTATCACTCTTTTCATTTTAAAATAAATAATAATAGAACATATAAAATTTTGCTTATGGCTACTTTCATGCTGTAATGGCAGTGATGAGTAGTTGCAAGACTGACTTACAAGCTGTGTATGGTGGCACATACCTGTAACCCCAGAACTCAGGAGGCTGAGGCAGAAAGATTGCTGTGAGTTCAAGGCCAGCCTAAAACCGGGCCTCAAAAAAAAAAAAAAAAAAAAAGTACTAAGGAAACAGGATTGTCTACTCTTCCCTTCACAGCTTACCTACAAATATTGAATCCTGCCATTTCTATACCACTACTCTCCATGGACCATACACAGCTGGATATTCCTGTTAATTCCTGAGACGCTCCAACAGGTTCCTTTCATATACTCTTGTGCTCAGACTCACCTTAATGTAAACTATGTTACTATTTGCCAGTGGTTCCTATGCACCACAGAGGAACTAGTATGAGCTCAGATATGTGCACATGTGGAGGTTTCTATAAGATTTCAGGGCAGGGTAATTGCTTCGTCGTATAGTCAGCACCAATATGTTACCAGTTCTAGAATAAGATGAGAATCACTATAGTACCCTCCCCTACCAAGTACAAAGTCATCCAGCATGTCCAAGAAATATCATTTCATAACAAAATCTCTAGACTTGATGAAAATAAAATTAATTTCTTTATCCAGGATTGCCACACAAATAATCTGTCTTCCCGCTCTTTTTGTCCTCAGTCTATGCTGACAAACACTAGATCAACCAAACTTCCTGCCTCTCTTATTAGAGGCCACTGGCAGGATTGTGATATGTCAGCACTGGAGTATCTAGATTCACTGGAGTGTTGTTTCCTCTATTAATTACAAATTTGGAGGGAACTCTAGCTCCAGTAAAAACAATTCCATGATTAAAATCCCCTCTGACTATTACAGAGGCTAGGATTTGCTGGATGAGGCATAGGTCCAGGAAAGAATATGAGAAGAAAAGTGCTGCAAAGAAAGAGCTATAGTTGTCAGGCTGCTAGAATCTTTGAGTAAGTCACTACCACGACAAGGGCGAAGACCCAGCCTCGGCTCCATTCTGGTCAGACATCTGGCAGCCTCAGCCCATACCACACCTGGCTGATGCCACACTCTGAATAAAAACATCTCCAAGAAGACAGTTCATCAGTTTTTTTTTTTTTTTTTGGTTCTTCTGAAACTATTGAGAATATAGGTTCTTTGAATATAACAATGAATATAGAATTATTATTAAAGAGTCAGATCAGGTAATTCTTTTGACATTTTTCATTATTCAAAAAAATTAACCAGACAAAAATAAGACAAAACCTTTAAAGATAAAATAGCAGTATTCTTTGAGTAATTAAAGATAATTCTAGATTGTGATAGCTATTGTTCACAGAGTTAAAGCATGTTGCATATTGACTGGTTTAACCAAGGTTTAAATTCTTTTTAAAAATACTTAAAAAGTAAGTTTCCATTGTCTATAAAATGCATTTACTTGGAATACCATTTGGACAATAACTTTAACTATATAATAAAATCAATTCTTTTTCTCCCCAAACCTTTCCTGTTTGAATTAAATAAATATTTCCTTTCCTAGAAGTGTCCTTTCCCACACTTTCCACACTGGAAGGTTGTTCTCATATATAAAACTTGGTGTGACAACTATATGTTAGCCATGTTATATGGCTTATTTCATTTGACACTGAGTTAAGTACAATTATTTCTTCGGCTTTACAAACTACAAACCCAGGCTTAGCCAGGTTCACTAATTTGCCTTAAGAGGGAGCTAAAGGACTAGGAGCCATGAAGGAACGAAAAACCACAAAGCTTTGCTTAACAAGACTGTAAGAGAAACAAGATGCAATTAGGTTGGGCCTGGGTTCCCCCACCTTCCAGGCTGGACCCCAACACAGTCAGACAAGCACACAGAGGGGAGATTTCACTTTATTGTTACATCAGTTTCACAAATTATCCCAACACAGCCAGAAACACTTGAGTAGATAAAATGCCATTGCAGAGAGGCCTGGCAACAGAAGGAAGAATCCAGTTCATCTCCTTCATATCCCCAGCTTGGAACGGTATTTCTATTACACAAGAGTGAGGGCAGCTGATACACCAGGTAATCTATATGATGGACACTCAGACCTAAGAAATAGAAATTCCTACCAGGAGGTCTGTGCAGGGCAAGGAAATAGAAAAGTCAGAAAATATTTGTCCCTCAAATGAATCAGGCATAGAAATAGCAAATAATAGAAATATTTTTCAAACTTCCTGGACTTGAGGAGGGCATCTAATAAGGACCAGTAGGTCTGATACGTATTGGTGGCACCATTCCTAAAAACAGTGACCTGGATACACATTATTTCTCCCACACATTCCGAGGCACAAGAATTTTCTAAGACTGGGAAGAAATGACCTCACTTTTTTGACTTTCCAGTCCCCAAAAGTAGTACGTCAGAGAGACAGAAGCTATCAAAGTAGTCAACTTGGCAACATTTGAAGAAGGCTAATAAAACTCAAGACTCCCTGTAATTATGTTTAGACGTTTTAAAGTGCTCTATGGAGCCTAGGGTTTAAAACATAATCATGTGGTTAAAGCATTCCAAGTGACTTGAATATATTGAGATAATGAATCCTAAACTCACTTCATCTTAGCTGATTTTACTCTCAAACTGGAAAACTACTAGCTGACTTTCAGAGACCAGAAGGATCACTAAAGGCCATCTGATCATCCCTAGGATGCCATATAATCCTGAATGAAAAGGCCAGGATTCACATGCATCTTTCCAGAACCTAAGAGTTCCTGGACTCCCTTGATCCACAGGAAATCAAATGAGGATAAACCAGAAGGAACCTGTAACATGTCCTACTTGTGGCCAAGAATCAAGGCTTGGAGTAGAACTTTCAAGTAGGGAAGGAAGAGGTGAAGAATTTTAGCTCCATCCTAGGATAAGAAGCAGGCCAAAGTGTAGCCATGGTAGGCAGGGGAGGAGTGGAGAGGCCTTTGTGGAAAGGAGCAAGGCCTCCTGGGTAAGGAAATAGGGTGTAGCTGGAGGCAGGGTGAAGGCTGGCAGTCTTAGGATCACCCTTGCTGAGCTTCAGGTATAGCCTCCCCTACTATAGATGGCCTTGCCTAGTTTTTTCTTTCAGTTCTTTTGTTGAGGCTGATAGGAAAGGAACCTCTGAGATGACCCAGTGACAACTGACTGCTGGTTGTTCAAATGGGGGTCACCAAGTTCCTAGTCATTAGGAGCTTCTGTGAGGCCAAATTCAAGGTTTAAATAATTGTAAGTGCAGTAACTGAACAACAGACAACAGACTTGGTGGTACCTGGCAAGGTTCAAAGTGGATCTATTAAACACTCTAAAAACTATTCCTATCAACCAAGTACAGACCTAGGAATACCTTAAAGGAATATTGCTGGGTATTTTTCTGACTTGTACAAACATTTCTATAGCTGCATTGAAGGGAAGATTCTATTAGTGTGTCCAAACTAATAACCAAAGAAACAACAATAAAAAGCTTCAAAAAATTATGATTTTCCCAACCTTTGAGAGGGTCGGGCAATACTGGACATTTACAAAGAGTTGTTTTTAATCCTACCAGCTTTCCAGCTACTTTCCCTTGCATCTGAGCAAAGCTGAGGAGTTTCCCAAGCCTCAGTTCCCTGCCTGGATGTTTCATTCCCTGCTCCCATCCCAGAGAGCTTTTCCCACACAGGCCTCAGCACCAACTCACTCTATACAGACTTCTCCCTTCAATCTAACCCTGCTCTAGGTTTTTTCATTTTCTTTCTCTATCCCTATTGCCAGATACTTGAATCTCTGTCAGATATATAACAGGCTGTATGGAAACACTGGCGATAATCAATGTCTCACAATGATTATTTACTCAAAGCCATCAATCTGTCTGTGGTCTCTTCTTCCTCCTCTCCAAGAAGTTCACAGTGAAAGACGACCTCAGTTCATCTTTGTATCCTCAATTTTTGGTGCCAAAAGAAGGCCCTAAATGTAACAATTTGGGTAGTGTACTTTTAGAGGGGTTGGCACACAGGAAGGAAGGCTACTTAGGTCCTCCTGGCATCTACCTCCAAAACACATTCTTCCCCCACTCTGCTCTTTTTTTTTTTTTGTCTTTTTCCTTTTTATCGGTACCGGGGATCGAACTCATGACTGCCTGCTTTCAAGGCAGGCGCTTATGCCGCTGAGCTAAACCCCCAGCCCCTACTCTGCTCTTTTTCACCCACTCTCACCCCTTTGTCCTCCTGTTAAGGCTTGAAAACAAATGAGGCAGCAAAAGAGCCTGGGTTTGGAAATCAGGTCTGAGGTTTAGGTATTTCCTGTCACTGACTTAATATATGAGCTTAAACAAGTCACTTGCCTCTCTGGACCTTTGTGAAGTGTTTGGACCAGGTGACCTCTCTGGGATCTTTCAGATCAGTTCATACCTGAGAAACCAATGAATTAATTAGCAGAGATTTTAATCCCAAGACATAGATTTCCTACATCTCTTTGAAACAGTTGAAAGAAGGTAAAAATCAGGTTCCTATATATATATTTAGATATAGGAAATGAAGCAGGTGTTATATCTATGAAGAACTAGAACCTGGCAGCCCCTATACTTGACTAATAAAAGCAAATTCTTGAAAGAAGCAGAGAAATAGGCCACAAGTGAGACCTGGCAGTGTCAAAAAGGGTCTATTAAAGTAAGTGATCAAAGGAGTAAAAAACAATGGCTATAATCAGACAAGATCTCTAAGCACAAACTATAGTCTAGACAGGTCTAGGGGGGAAGGAGCCCCTGGAGCATCTATTAAAAGGAAGGACTTGGTCCACAGCAAGTTGCTTCTGCACTTGGTTCAAACCCAGTTTTCTCAAATCTGTCAACCTCGTGTGTGCACATGTGCAGACATCCTCCTGCAGGCTGCAGTTATGCTTCTGAAGTGCTGCAATGAGAAAGAAACATCAGAAGCAATGATACCAAATTCTAAGGACTTAGGCTAAAGGCAAGTGAAACACTGTTTTAAAAGCTGTTTCAGAGTCAAAGGGTTTAGTACAGCAGCATAAACACCTACTTCGCAAGCGTGAGGTATGAGTTCAATCCCTGGGGAAGAAAGAAAGAAAGAAAGAAAGAAAGAAAGAAAGAAAGGAAAAGAAAAGAAAAGAAAAGAAAGAAAGAGAAAGAAAGAAAAGAGAAGAGAAGAGAAGAGAGACAGAGAGGGAGGAGAGAAAGGAGAGAGAGGGGAGAGACAGAGAGAGGGAGAGAGGGGAGGAGAGAGAGAGATAAAAGCTGCTTTCTTTCCCACCCACTCTGCTGCATGGTCATCCCTAATGTTCATTCTGAGATGGAATGGTGAACTCTTAAGACCACACAGTGGGAGACTGGCTATGACTGAAAGGACAAAAAAAGACAGGATAAAACCCACATACTCTTTGTCAAGTGGATTGATTTCACCTGGCCAATCTGGGCACTCACTTGTCTTCATTCAAGGAAATGGTCTCCACAAAAGGGATTTCTTCTTTGTCAGTCTTCCCCATGATCAGTCGGTGCTTATCCAAGTTTATGATACACTGAAAACAAAGGAAAATCACTGCTCACTGTCAGTGACCCCATTATACGCTCCCCATGTGAGAGGATCTCTGTCTCAGAAAGGCAGTTTCAAAGGAAGAGTACAGCCAATCCTACCTTCAGGGATCGGAGAGTCTGGAGACCAAGAGACAAGTTTTTCTCATTGTCCTCTAATAAAACAAGATTAAGACTTAGCCATTTCGTTGCTGGGTTAGAATCAGTCTGATCACCATCTATCTACCCACCACCCAACAATCCACCCAGCCAATAAAAATAAGTTGGAACATTTGTTAAGTATTTTTCTCGTATTATACAGTTAGAAGGTGATAGAACCAAGATTCAAACAGAAGTTTTTGCACTGTAAACAGCAGACGTGTTTCAGTCAAAAGCCAGGAACCTAATGTAGTATAGAACATATGAGAAGTGCAGGAGGTGTGTTGGAAATTCTCATGGGCATCACAAAAGGCATATGAGCATACTGTCCTCTGCTATCAACTGGTTCACAGAAAGCTCTCAGAGGACATTTTACCTGCACACAAAAGTGTTTGTTTCTTGTTCCATGAATTTTTGAACTTGATTTGCACATTCTGTTTTCTGATTGATTCACAATGTGTCTTGAATGTAGCTAAGGACCTGATACTTCAGAGGGCTAAACTGGGACAACTTCTATAGCATAGGAAAATGGGAACTTGGGATTCTGAAATAGTTGATATTTAGACACAAGATCTCATGAGGATTTTCATTGGGTTCCAAGTCCAGTCTTCAGTTTTACTCACCAACCACAGCTGCTGGGCAGTCCAGGCGGAAGGAGCCCAGGGTGATCACTAGATGTTCAATCTGACCCACTACTTTGAGATGTCGGGGGAGAGAAAGCTTTTCTCCTTCATGCTTGTGAGATTTAACATACTCCTTGAGTCTGCATCACAGAAAAAGATACCTTGGCAGAAGTTTCTCATAAATCTGACAATGCTTGCCTTATGACCCATGACTGGAATTCTCTAAGGATTTTCTGGAACTAATTCACCAAAAAAGAGTTATGTTGCTTACACTTGTTTCAGTAGTCTGTCCTAAACATGCAAAGGGATAGTTACAAAACTTAAAGACTCATTTCCTATTTTCACACAGCTATGTCATTACCTGCATTGATGAAAGAAGGGATTTGATATATTGAGAGAGTTTTATCCTATCCTACACCCTAGCATCCTTACCTGTGTGTGACACAGTTTAGTTAACATGTCCTTCTATCCATCTGTGGGTAATAGATATCAGAGAGGGCAAGTTAATCCTAATTTTAGAAAGCACTTTGTTTCGATGCCTAATTATCCCTTTCTCCTTTATATTTCAGTTTATCTTCATCAGTTTAGTGGGGTAAGTATGTATTTGTACTGACACTGGTGTCATCAAGGAATATTATGGAGAAAGTCTTTACTAATTTTTCTGTCTGTACAGGGGCGTAAGGAAGGGAATAGCACCAAGATTTCACATAGTTATATAAGCTGAGCGGAATAGTTAGCACTCAGGCTATTATGGGTTGGTGGATAAATACTTAATTATGGACCTTCTGTGCCAATACTTCTGCTTTCTTCCATTTCCTCTCTTTTGGCATTATACCCCATCCAAAAGAAAAATAATTGCAGTTTTACAGATGATGATTAATTCCCTGGAATCATGGCAGTCTGCTGCCTAATTATGCATCAGGACATTATTAGGCTTTCTGGAACCATCAAGTTGCACCATACCTCATCTCTTTACCACATGAAAGAGCTCAGGATTCTTCCCACAAGAGTACTTGAGTCTTGGACTCCCCCACTGTTACCCTAAAGAGCAATGCACAAAACCCCAGAACCAACTTCACAGAGTCACAGGGGTAGTGAGGGGTGATAGAAGATAGGGGGACACAGAAGGAAGGACACATCATGTGGCAGGGCACTGATTATACAAATGAAGCTCTGTGTAAGCCCTATAAGAACATGGATATTTTGACTGTAGCTCAGAATAGCCATTATGTCTATCTTTGTGATTATTGCATTACAGAGATTTGGGCCAGGGAAGAAATTCATTGTACTTGGGATTGGAGACAACAAAAAATAATATAGATTGATCATACTGATTCCTGGTTAGATTTCAGAACCCATTTGAATCTATGGAAGACTAGAAAGAAGGAAAGAAAGCAAAATGGAGGCTGAATGAAAAGGAGATAAGATACAGAATGGCTTTCCAACTAAAAGGGGGAGAACCCAATTCTAGCTGCCAAAGAACTGAAGATACTCAATACACCAGATGTCTGCCTCACACTTAACCCCCAGCACAGGCAAGAGAAATATCTGATGTAATCCACTCTTCACAAGAGGAAAGGCACTAAGGAACTCCCCAGTTAACTGCCCACTGAGGACGGCAAGAGCACCCTTTCCTTAGTTCTGACAAATGCTTCTTGGGGACAGGCAGTGTATACTCCAGAAGTAACCTGAGAAAACTAAAGCCAACCATATTCCCACTTTCACTCATTTGGGATAAAACAATAGACAGATATTTCTAATTTGCTGTCTGCTGAACCAGGACAGAGCATACATGGAACCAGGAGTCTCACACTCTTTCATTACAGAGTCCAGAGAGCTCTACTCAAAATCTAAGCCGAACTAACAATAAGCCCAATGCTTTTCAGCTTACTAATTTCTCCCAGTTGCCTGATAACCCCCCACTCCTTTGCCTGCTAAGGACTCTGGGTTCAGCTGAGATCTGAGTTTTGCATATTTCTCTTTTTGCTTCTGTGGAGAAGCACCACCTCTAGCTTCAAAAGAGATTCAAGCAAAAAGTGCAATCACACCTAACTTCCACACAGCACAAGTGGCAACTTACCCCAATCTGTCCACACAGGCTGAGGATATGAGATTATACTGACAGCCTGTGTCAACCAAGGCTTTCACATCCTTTCCAGCACACTGTGGGAAAGAAGCATACTGTTCAGTAGGAGGCAGACAAGTAAAAGTGAAGTGAGATGCAGAAAGCATACAGCAGATGTCAAGTGAAAAGGTTGGATCCTCCCATTATGGGCTGTAGTGTCCGCTGCTAAATCTGCCACTGATTGGCTCTTTTTCCTGCACAATACAAGGCTAACAAGATATCCCAAAGGACTTTAGGTGTTTCATTCTATATACCTAGTAGCTCTTAATCGTTTTTTAAAATCACATTCCCCTTTATTAATCTAAAGAAAGCCTTGGTCCTCTTTCCCATAAAGATGGACATGCATATAAATATTGTATATGCTTCCAGTGTTGTATGGAGTGTCCCCTTTAAAATAAATTTATGAATTCCATAAAACTCATAATCTATAAGGAGAGAGCCTGTTATTCAAATCATAAAGAGCCTCAACATCTACTTTCCAGAAAACCCTGGAAAAGCTTTTCTTCGAACATTACCTGGCAAGAAACCAAAATCATGTCATCCTCCTCAGACTTCTTTAGTCCTTCAGATTTAGTCTGATTGAGTTTGTTGGTCTTGGAGGCCCAAGGAACACGACCGCTTCGGAGCTTAGACAGATTTGTTTCCATGAGGCGCCTCTGCAGAATGTTATGAGGTTGCTTGAGGAATAGAAAGCAAAGGTTTCTTAGTGACAGGGCACTTCCCCCTTCTCCCATAGTCCCCTACACAGTACCACAGAAATAATGAAGGAACCTTATGTAACAACTCTACCTTTCCTTGTTTATTCTTCCTTCATTGGTATTGTCAGCCAGGTACTACAAACCAATTTGCAACAGGCCACTCTGAATGGATGAAAGAGCAAGGTACAACACTGGGGACATGTGGATAGGGACTGGCAGATCATGGTGATATTGCCTACTGCCTTCCCTCTCCTTATAAGAAAATTTCAGAGGAAAAAGTGGCCTTAGTCTGAGGTAAGTGATATCTGTATCTTTCCAGGTGACTGTTAATCTGTAGAAAGGGCAGTTCATTCCCAGAAGTTACAGAAACTTACCTAGTCCTGGTAGGGAGTTCTGCTTACTTTTATGGCAAGTATCACCCTTTATAGTCTTATCTTTTATACTTAGTCTGACAAATCATGGGGGCTGGGCTCTTCTGCAAGCTGAGCCACCCACAGTGTAGATGGGTTGGGAAAATTCGTACCTGCTGAGCAAGCCTCTCAATAGACAGACTCTGTAACTTGGCAGAAGCCACAGGAGTCATCTTCACTGATGTCCTCTTGCCCTTTACTGTCATTCATTTTCCTGCCCTTTTAATAGAGCAGAACTGGGGTGAGGAGCATAGGCACAGACATTGCCCAAGAATCAAGAGATTATACATGCCAGGATATTTAATATTATGAAGCAGAATGAGGAGTGTGAGTTCAAGTCTGCCTTTTGATAGAACTTACATGATAGAACTTTTGATAGAACAAGAGTTCCTTACACAAGATATATTCATGCTCCACCACTCCGATTGAAAATGATCTCCAGAAAGTTTAAGGTATCTTTTGATAAGAAGTCATTTGACCTGAGAAAATTCTCTACACAACCATTGTATGACAACTTCACAATAACATTTAAAATCCCTGAAAGGACAGAGGTTAGCCTCAAGTTTATGATATTCCTTCTCTGATTCTAAGGGTAAGGGAATCACTCTTAGAAGCCCAGGGCCTGGAATGTTTCTGGGGAAAGTGGTAGCACTGGTGGTCTTCACTACCTGATTTCTAAGGAAGGATGGAGTCAGAGCTATGACTCATTTTAACCCTAGTGATTTGAGAAATGGGTTCCTGGAATACTGGTTCCTGGCTTCCCCCCAAAAGTTCTAAATTAAATTCATGAGGCTGGGTATTTAGCTCAGCGGCATAAACGCCTGCCTTGAAAGCAGGCAGTCGTGAGTTCGATCCCTGGTACCGATAAAAACGAAAAAGCCAAAAAAAATTATAAAAAAAAATAAATTAAATTCATTGGGAAGGGGAGGGAGAGACACTTATAAAGAAAATGAGAACTCAGCTTGATGAGGAATTATAGGAAGTGCTGACTCTGTTAAATTTTGTGATGCAATATTGTGAGAATGCTTTGCTTCTCAAAACAAAGAAAATTTTTTTCCATTCTAATCTCTCTAATAAACCTAAATTCCTAGATCAAGCCATGTCGAGTTCATGCTTAGCACAGTCAATTCAGATAAACTGGATGTGTAGAAGTGAAGGCTGGGAGTGGCCTCCAAGGCCATCAAACCAATGCCCTTTCATCTGAAGCTTGGGGCTCACCACATTGGTCTTGGTGAACAAAAGTTTACCTAGTTATTTTTAACTTTTCAAAGGAGTTAATCATCAATGGATAAATGAGGAAAGTTCTAAAGTTGTTCTCCTTGAAGTAATCCTCCTTCCGTAATTTCTCCCTTTCCCTCAGATCTTTCCTCCACCAGCTACTAGGGAGAAAATTTGCTCACAAAATTTCAGATCCTGCCTCCTCAGTTCTCATGCTCCTCTAATCACTGAAATAGTCTTTTAAAAAAACCCTAAACTGTATCTAATTCCTGATATTCTGCATTTTTTCACTGAGATCACTTCTGATCCCACAACACCAATAATAATTTCCTAATTTCCAAATTCAGTAGACATTCTTAAGCCTTAATTTTACTTAACTTCTTTAGTACACTGGACTGGATTGATTCTTCTTTATTTGTTCTTTTCTTTGGTGACCAAAGTTAATATGCATTTAGCACGAACACATGTTAAATGCAAAATATTCAAGGGTCACTGAAGTATATACAATTGAAGGTGAAAATGCACCTTTTCAGTCTCAATCCTTACAAATAATAAGCATTAAATTTAGAAATATGTCCTCCCAAAAAAACCTTTGTAAACATATTCAAATGTCAGATTATACTGTCATACTTCTGAAATGTCCTATTTGTATTTAACATATGAAAGTCATTTTTCTATGCCAGTATTTGTAATTGTTTCATTCACTCTCCCAACTTTCATATTTCCAAAAAGTATTCGAGGACAGAAAGTTCACAGCCCAAAAACTCACGAGAACTTCAAAAATGTTTTTCTCTATCCATTTCACTATGTCCACAAGTCTTAAGTAACAATACAGCTACACATTTATCTTTGCTCTCCCAAAATTTCACCAAAATGATAGTAAAGGAACAAGAAAAACCCAAAACCATAAAAACAAAAATAATGTTAAGGGAACAAGAAAAAAAATTAGATGTTGACAAAATTCTGGAATCAACAACAGATAGAAAAGCAGTAACTGACATAGTCTAGATAAAGTTAAGTGCTTCACATTATTTCACTTCACAGCACGCTGAAGTGACAGAGACTGACGGCTGCTCAATTAAAGTCCTTTTTGTCTTCCTGCAGAGCAGATACCTAGCTTATGCTTCCTTTTTTTGCAGTTAGTCATAACCATGTGACTGAGTTCTAGAGGATGGGATCTGAGAAGTGACATACACCATTACCTGGACTGGCTCATAAAGCTCTCCTCAGTATAGTCCTCCATATGCTTTGCCCTTTATTTTTGGTACCAGGGATCAAACTCACGCCATGAGTTTGCCAGGCAGGGCTTACGCCGCTGAGCTAAGTCCCCAGCCCTCTTTTCCCCTTTTAGCTAGCTGGACTGGAGTTGACTACTATAGCAACCTTTTTCCTACAACCCACATATTAAAGACAAAAGAATCACTGTTACCCTGGATCCATAAACGACTGCATGGAAGAGGGCTGTCTTAGTGAGTTTTTCACTAGTATAGTCACATCTCGGTATCCACAGACCCCTTCCAGATATCCAAGAATGCTCAACTTCCTTAATATATTAACTTTGCCCACATCCTCCCTATACTTTAAATCACTTCTGGATTGTAATACAATGTAATACAATTTAAATGCTATGGAAATAGATATTATATTGTTTAGGGAAGAGAAAAGTATGTGTTCAGTACAGGCACAAATTTTCAAGTATTTTTATTCCATATTTGGTTGAATCTGTGAATACAGAACCCATATATATATAGCTACAAAATCAGTTTTCCCACTCAAACTAACACCCTGGAAAGGCTGAAAGCTTAGAAGTTACTGGAACTTCTACAGTCAGAGGGTGGGATTGGGGTTGGAGACAGATTAAAGCCTGCATAAGATTATTTGACTCAGACAACTGGGAAGCATACCAAAAGCTTACTCTTTTTCTAAGAGTAAATCAAAAGACTGACTAGTTGATATTTGAGTGGAATTTTAGATTTGTAGAGCAGAACTGCGGAGATCCATAGTAACATAGGACAGGAGTTTAAAGATTGAAAGGGCCCACATGGAGCCTACCATACTGAAGGAGAAAAGATCCACATCAAGATTTCACATCCCTGGGGACTGGGGATTTAGCTCAGCGGCATAAGTGCCTGCCTTGCAAGCAGGCAGTCATGAGTTTGATCCCTGGTACTGACAAAAAGGAAAAAGACAAAAAAAAAAAAAAAAAAAAAAAGAAGATTTCACATCCCTGTGGAAAACACAAATGAAAAAGATTTCAAAAAGAAAAAGACCATCCAAATACAGAGGATTAGGAATGTTACAGGACTACTTAATAGAAACAATGGATGCTAAAAGAAAATGGAAACACCTTTAAAAATATGACAGTACATAATCTCTACACTTAAACTGTAATCAAAATTTAATAACGTTATTTCCTGTGCATTCTCAAGAAGCTACTGAAAGATGCTCCACAAAAGTGAGGGAAACAAACAACAAACAGAAAAGTATTTCTCCTACAAACTTGTTTTGAAATTTTGTACCACGGTTTTTATTGTTTTCTTTTTTTGTTAGAAAGAAAGAAAGAAAGAAAGAAAGAAAAGAAAGAGAAAAGTATGGGCTCTATGAAATAAAAGAGAACAAGAAGAGAGAGACAAAGAAAATTCTGAGAATGAGATTAAAGGAAAAGTCCAGGTTGTTTGTCAGGCCTTCTGAGTGGCCAGATATTTAAAAAAATGGATGTACCAGATTATCTATATTTTTAAGGTTCTTAGAGGAGATTTAAATTTAACATTGAAAATTACGAGGTCAGTCATGGTGGTAAATGCCTACAATCCCTGCACTTGGGTGGCTGAGGCAGAAAGATTGCTGTGTGTTGGAGGCCAGCCTGGGCTACAAAGTGAGTTCAAGGACAGCCTGAATATAGTAAAACCCTGTCTCAAAAATATCCCCCCCTCCAAAAAAATTAAGTAAAAATAACCCAATGAAATTTTGAGAAAAACAAATATTTATATGAGAAAATATGCCCATAGTACATTTGCCTTAGCTGTAAACAATATGAACATACTCATAATAAATACAGGTTTGACCAAAATAATTATTTAGAAGAATATTAATAGAAGAAGGGAAGTAATGGGTGTAAAAGAATAAAATTTTTCTTCATTTTAGCAAAATCAATAAAGAACTGTAAATCAATAAATCAAGAAGTAGCAGTATCATCATTTTCTTAAAAACATGGTAAGCCCCAACACAGTAGCTTTAAATTTAAGTTTTAAATTACATACATGTATTTTTAAATACAAATAAAATATATATCCCATAAAATAGGCATTAGTTCAGCCTCAAAGAAGTCAGATTATAGTGGTTTAAATGGAGGTTTATTTTTTCTCATAACAAGAAGTCTGGATGCAGACACTGCTAACCTTTATGCAGCACATTAACAACTTTGGGGCTACTGTCTCTGCAATTCTCGTGCTATCCCCTCACGGTCATAAGAGGGGTACCCCAGCTGAAGAGATGACATCCATATTCAAGAAATGAGGAAAGAGGAAGGAACTACAGTACATTAGTGCCACGGTCCCTGTTCTCAGCAAAGTGAAAGTTTTCTCTGCAGTTCCCTCAGCAGTATTTTCCCTGTTATCACTTTGGTCAGAATTCACACGGCCATTCCTCAGGGCTAGAGACTTTGGGATACAATTTAGCCTTCTTAACATCTATAAAGAGGAATCAGGCAGGCAGAAAAGGACAAGGTGATAATTTGGACAACTGACAGTGTCTTGTCAGGTCATGCAAAAACTAAACTGTGTGTATGTGTGCCTATGTGTATTCACCACTGTGCACATATAACATAATTTATATGCCTAAAATGCCACGTTATCCTGTAACTAGCTTAGCACACATTTCTCACACTTGCCCTAATTTCTTCAATTTATAAAGCAGTATATACTTTATAGATATCTGAATCTGTTATATAAACATACCTCAATTAATGATTTAACTACTAATGGAAATTTAGGTTTCTTGCATGTTTTCATTGGAAACAATACTGCCATAAATTCAACAGTCAATTTTTTGAAGTTCTCTTCCACAAACTCATAAAACCACAGGCAATGCCACCATACCCCATTCCTCTAATTGTCTTCTAAAAAGTCAGTGTTTCTCATTCTTCTATTCTTTCCCTTTTTCTCACTCTACATGTTGTCCAGGACAATATTATCTACTTGCATTGCATAAATTACTATCTTTATGATGACTCTATCTCAATTTTAGTTCTTGAGTTTTAAACCCATTTTTGAACTTCTATATTTAGTCCATGAGCACCTCAAATTTACTTGTCCTACTGATCAGTACCATAAAATTGGCACTTTCTCCCTCATGCCCTATATTGGTGAGTGAAATTCAGCCTCCTTAATACCTCCTATGATCCTCCTAATTTTTTCTATTATTGTTAAATCTGAGCATCTGTGATCCTGAGACATTTAATGTTCCTTCCTCTACAGTGGTTCTCTTGCCAGTATAGCAAACAAGAATCCTAAATTTAGCATTCAAGGTCTTCCACTAACTACCACTCATCCTCCTTCTCAAACTCATCTGCTTACTTATCCCTCCACGAAGGCTTTCTCCTTTTGGCAGATTACCACTTGTCACATACATTACCTTCAGCAAATCACTAATCTCCCCAAGCATTACTTTCCTCTAAGCCATGCTTTTTTTCAGGAATATTAAAAGATACCTGAGCTCCAACTGTTGTTCAGTTTTAACATTCCAGAATAATTCCTTTCTGCCAACTTAGTAGATGGCAAAGACCCACTCATTCTGATTATTTTATTTTCCTAAATTTTCATCCCAAGACTGTTGGTGCCTTCTCTAAAACATATTTGGGATCAATCTACTCCCCATCATCACTACCTTCAATTAACCAACCCACCATCATTTTTTATCTGTGCTGCAATGGCTTTCTAACCTGTCTTCTGTTTTTTCTTATACCTTTCTCCATCCCATTCTCTGCACCATCAGAGTATGTTTTTAAAAATACAAATCAGGGCTGGGGATTTAGCTCAGTGGCACAAATGCCTGCCTTGCAAGCACACGGTTGTGAGTTCAATCCCAGGTACCAAAAACAAAACAACGACAAAAAAAACCCAAGTCAGATCTTACACTGCCTTACCCAAAATTTTTCAATGGCTTTCTATTGTTCTTCAAACAAAATTATGTCTCTTATCGTGGTCTACAAGGCAATGCACCATGGGGCTACTGCTACTCTCTCCAAGTTCTATTTATATATTGTTCTCTAATTCATTTATTCAGCTCCATCCACACTCATGTCCTCGCTCAGAAACCTTTTCCCATTCTAATCCTCTAGCACCTGCTGTCCTCTCTGCCTGAAATGTTTTTCTCCAACACTTAAAATAGTTAGCTGACTCTTAACTTCCAGGTCTCAGTTCAAAGACACCTTCCCTGCTCAGAGACAACTTCCCTGACCCCACTACCTAAAGTAGGTACCTCTTTTGCTAATAACATATACCACTATTTCTTTCGTAATAATTATAAATCTAGAATTTGGTTTTGTATTTTGTTCTTTTCATTAGAAAGTTAATTATACAACAGTAAAGACCTTGATTGCCTCTATCTCAGTTATATTACCAATTCTCAACACAATGCTGCATGAGTAAATCTTGATTCATTATTTCTTCAAAAACTTTATTTCTTGATTAGTTCTTTCTTTCATGAGCCTTTCAACTGTTGTATGTTATTTTTCTTTTTTATTTTTTTACTTTGTAAATTAGTTTATATTATTTATATTCTAAATCCTTGACTGTTGCTTTATAAATGTGCTTAAGTGGTTTTCATCTATGTTTATTGAAATATTGGCTTTCCAATGGCTGTACTTGTCTTTTAAGATATACATTAAAAACCAGAAGTGATAATGTATGTCTGTAATCCCAGCACTCTGGGAGGCTGAGGTAGGAGGACTGCAAGTTTGAGGCTAGGCTGGGCAATTTAGCAGGACTGTCTCAAAATAAAAATAAAAAAGGGCTGGAGATGTACCTTAGTGCAAAGGCTCTGGGTTCAACCCTCAGTACCACAAAAAAATAAAACTTAAAAATAAGACACATAGTGCTAATTAGCTAGATCGATGCTGCAGGTGCTCTAGCGACCTTTAGGACATAATTCTCAAGTCATCTTCCTAACATGGCAACTGCTTTATACTAACCCTCAACAAGTCAACTAGTAATTCACTCCCTCATCTCTATTGTTTCTGAGACATAGCTGCAAAAGGCATCTAACCTAACCAAGAAAGTTCAAATTTGCTCCCACCATTACTGTTAAGAACTTCTGAAGGAATAGGGTACTGTGGGGAGTGCTGTACTCTGGGTGAAAATAGCTGATGCTCCTCAATCTGCCAGCCATGCTGCTAAACACCTTTTCAACCAGGCTATCAAGTGGGAAAAGAAGTGAGGTAAGAGGAGACAAACTATTCTGCAGGGAGCCACACAATCATGATTTTAGCAAGAACTTCTAAACCCACTTTCTCAATCTCTTTGCCATACTGAACTCAGACAGAAATAAATGGATTTCTGTGGCCTTTGAAACAGACCAGATTGCAAAATAGAGGAAATGACAGACATCTGTTTTCTTTGTAGCATTTACTTCCCAAGGAAAAATGCAAGATCAATAATTAGCAATATAACCATAACCAAAGATACATAGAATGGGGTCAGCAGAATGTCCTACTTGTCAAATCTAGCCTGGTCTTCTAGAAATAAAGTTTTACAGCACACCTGTAATCCTAGCTACTTGGGATGCTGAGGCAGGAGGATCACAAGTTGAAGTTTAGCTTTAGCAAATTAGCAAGACCTCATCTTAAAACGGAGAGTGGGATAGATATGTAGCTTAGTAGTAGAATACTTGCCTAGAATACTTGCACAAAATGCTGAATTTAATTCCTAGCACTGCAAAAATGTTTTGTAGTCTAAACTATAACCAACCCCATTCTCCTAGTGTTCATGTCTGTTTTTGCACTATATGATCAGAGATAAATAGTTGAAATAAATAGGCCTAGGAAGCTGAAAATATTTGCTATCTGGTCCTTAGAGAAAAAAAATTTTCTAAACTCTGACTTAGACTAGCATTTAAGAACATTTCTTTTGAAGTCAGACAGAACTGAGTTCAAGTTAATAATTCATAGTGCTTTTGTCAGGATTAAGTGAAATGATCCAAATAAAAATGTTTAACACCATATCGGATATAAACACTCAAGTGTTATACATATATGTATTTTAAATTCTCATGCATAACCAAAAATTGAAGATGCATACCATTCACTTTTCCCCTCCTAAATAGGTCTGAAATCTTACTCCATTTTAGTTCCCACATATCATCTAAACACAAACACAACCTTCTGATCCAACCACAATTTATCTATCGATCTCTGACCCTGGAAATCTAAAAGGGCACTGCTATCTGTACTTTCTCTTTTTTACTAGCTGAATACCCAACATGTGACTCATCCTACCTTATGCAAACAGACAGCTTGTCCTCAGGTTTGCAATGGCTTGAAAACATATGGGAGTCTACCTAAGTCAGGCTGTCACAGTGCCCCAGGTCCTCTGAGTTCTGTTTCTTTGCCTTTATTCCATGAACCAATGGACATGTCATTTCAAAGAAATCAGCCTTATTTCTGGTTGTTTTCTGCTTTGTTGATCAGTCTGAAATGGAGGATTCTCAGCTAAGCAAAGACTACATTTTTGATAAGGATTCACAAATGGGCGAGGAACTAGAGCAGACAACTAGTAAAATTCTTACTCTGAGGTTCTACAGAGCACACTGTGGTCTGTAGCATTCTCTCCATTCCATCTCATAGCCTACTGCTCATGCGGAATGGAGAAGCTGTTGATCTCCATCCCTATCATCTTAGCAGGCCAGAGTATTGACACTCAGTGAACCGCTGCATCCTAACAAACACTTTTGCCAAACAGCATGGGCTGCCTGGTGATGGTATTTATCTTCTTGTGGAATGTCTACCAACATCCACAGGCCAAACTTAACTCATTCAACAATCAAATTCCTCATTCTTAGTCCCTATGTCCAACTTGTTTCCCCTGTGGGGTTACCCATTTAATAAATGACAACTCTGTTTGTTCCACTTGCTAGATCAAAAACCTTGAGGTAATCTTTACCTATTCTTTCTTTTGGAGTCTTCATTCAATTCATCAACTAAATTTGTCAGCTCGACCTTCAATATATATTCAGACTTTGACCTTTTCCTGTTGCCTTTATTGCTCTGAGGCACCATGGTTTCTCACTGGGATTGTTATAGAAAAATCTCTGAATATGAATCAGTCTCCCTGCTTCTAGCCCTTTAATCCACACAGCAGCCTGAGTAATTTTTTATAAAGCAAGTCACATCATGTTAGTTCTCTGCTCAAAAATTTTCACTGGTTTTATATATATATTTCATTATGTAGTTCAGGCTGGCCTTGAACTCACTATGTAGTCCAGGCTTGCCTCAAACTCGTGGTAATTCTACAGCTGCAGCCTACCAAGTGCTGGGACTAGAGGCATGCACCACCACACTCAGCTTATTTACTTACTTTTATTATGTCCCTTCTTTCCACAAGAATACAAGTTCCATGAGGGCAGGAACTCTATTTTGGCTCAACCTTTTTATCTCCAATACTCAAACTGTTGCTTGACATGTAGTAGGTGGTCAATAACAAATTAAATAACCTGTCCTATCTTTCTCCTAACTTGTAAACTCCCTGTCAAAAAGACTTTTCTCTCTTTATCTATGCATTCCTAGCATCTAAACTATCTCCTGAATATCAAAAATCTTCAGATAATGTTTGCTATAACTAGGATGCAATGGCAGTTCGGGAAATCTTCATTCTTTCCTTCTTAGGCTCCAAAGTTCTCTGGCTTGAGGCTTGTGCCACAGGACACCACCCTAGAACTGCTCTGGACCAGATATTTCAGATCAGGTATTACATGATCAGTTAGCCTTACCATCTTTTTTTTTTTTTTTTTTTAGCCCCTATTTCTAATACTAATCAATTTGGCTCTAGGCAGAATCAATTATAGGGGGAAAAAACTCTCTTTCTACTGCCAGACAACGGTATGGCCTAATGGACACAGGTCAGTAACTAAGTCACACATAAGAGATAGCATATTATCACATAATATGCTATTTTTAAAAATTACAAGTCTTTAGCATAATGAGAAAACTTCTATGAACCTAGTAGCTGAAACAAGAGAAATCAGAATAACAAAACACCAAGAATGAAGATGTTTTTCTCAAGCTTCATCAAGATTTTTTTTAAAAATGGCTGAGTATAGTGGCATATGCCTAAAATCACAGCACCTGGGAGGTTGATGCAGGAGGATCACCTTGAGTTTGAGGCCACCACATAGTGAGACTTTTGTCTCAAGAACAAACAAAAAAGCAAAGAAAAGATGAAAAAAATATTACTCAGCTCTCTGGCTTTAGTTCTTAATCCAATAAAAATAAACAACACAATGAAAGGATAAATAAGAGATCAGACATTAGAGGTGATTAATTTCCACAGCAGAACTTTGTTGCAGCCAACTCCACATACCTAAGGATTGGGAGAAGGGACTTTCCTGGGGCCAAGAGATCATGACCATCTTGAATAATCAATAGTGCCCCTTGCCGAACCAAGAAAGGCTGGAAAGCTGGTATGAAGGGTGAACATTTAGAAATAGCAAAATATGATGCTGGGCGTGGTGGCTCACACTTGTAATCCCAGCACTCGGGAGACCGTGGTGGAAGGATCATTTCGAATTCAAGACCAGCCTGTGCTACAAAGTGAGCTCAAGGCCAGCCTGAACTGCATAGCGAGACCCCATCTCAAAAAAGACAAAAAAAAAAAAAAAAAAAAAAAAAAAAAAAAAAAAAAAAAAAAAAAAAAACCAAATAGCATGATATTAGGAAGGTAATTTAGAAAAGCCAGCAACATAATTCAAGTACAGTTACTAGGATGAGGAAAAACAACCCACTGTCTTCACACTGCTCAAACCACAGAGTCAAGAAAGATAATTTGTCTTGTTTTCTCATGCCCTTTTTTTCTGTCCCCCTTCTATTGAGATTGTCCTATAAAGCACTTCAAATACAAACTATTTATTTAACCCCAACACTCTCCAAATTTAACTTCCAGAAAGAGAACATAGAGTCAAAACTGGTATATTCTACCAGTTGTGTCTAGAAAACAGAGGGGTAAGACTGTATTTCTAAAGTTACTTGAAAGATTGCACCAAGGTTGCTAAATCAGTTCCAAGAGAGCTTAGAATATGTTGTCTCACCCCAGCACTTGCATCTCTCCTAATCCTGCCTGGGTTTCTGTGATCTGCTCTGGTTCTTCTGTGCAATCACTTGCATATTAAAGGTGTGAGAACAGTGAAATAGGGAAGTTAACTCCACGATAATGGGTACAGAAAGTGAATTATGTTTCAGAGCTTCACAATCAGTTGCAATCAATTGTGTCACATGTGGCAATTCCCTGCTTCTTGAGAATGCTTCTTCCTTGCAGCCTACTGATACATTCTATGCTGTCAGCTCCTGGTGGCTCAACTGTGACAAAATGGAGTTAGAAAAGCCGATGGGATTTTTCTTACATAGCATGAAGTTGTAAAAGCAATTGTAGGCAAGATGTTGAGGTTGTTCCTTTGTGTCAGGAATAGGGTGGGGGAGGTAGAGGGTTTTTAATGATCCAGGACAACCAAACGTATCAAATCCAGCATGAAAAAAGTCCATATTTTAATTCTCCCAATAATTTCCTCTTCAGTGAGTCCTGATGCTTCTAGGAACTAGAATTATTTTGGTCTAAAAGAAAGAAGAAGACTTGTATCTCATTTGCAAAATGAATCTAGATTGCTTTGAAGATTAAAAAAAGGAAGAGGAATACATTCCAATCATTCTCAACATGATCAAATCAATGATCCTGTGGCTTGGGCAGAAAATATAACTTTAAAAAACTAAGCAAGATGAATTTCCCCCTGCATATGAGTAACTAATGGTGGGGAGGAAAAATCTGGCAAAGATATTTATGTGTCATTAGAACTGTTAAAATAGTAGACACAGCTCTACCCTTCACTGCCAATCCTCAGACAGAAATGGCAATTTGAGTGAACCAGGGCCAATAACCATATCCAAAATGAAACATTCTAAGAACTCAAATTAGAAAAATACTGGAAAGATTATATAGAGCCCTTATTTAATTTGTAAAAGACATTTAATGTTTCATAAATTATTCCTCAGATGAATAAAGTGATTATGAACTCGAGAAAACCATCAAAATATAAGGAAAACAGTCCAGAAAAAACAAGAAGGTTAAACATGGCCAAGAATCATTACAATGAGGGTTGAGATCCAGCTGTAGTTCCTTGGTAACCCTTAGCTATCTATACTCATTCTATAGACAGAGGGCAGCACGGTCTTTGAACCCAGGGTCCTTTCAGTCCTGGGTGTCTCCTACTTAATGCCAACAACAACCGTGCCAGAAGAAAGACTGCACCAGCCCTGGCTCCAACTAGGCACTCACATTAGTGGATCATTGAGATGAAGCAGTCTGGCTTTCCCCTCCACTCACTCCCTTGGGGGCAGAAGAAGGAGAGATGAGAAAGATGAAGAGCTGTTGGGGGTTCAAGGGACCTGCACATTCGACCCCTTTCTCTCGCCCCACACAGGATGGAAGAAGATAAAAAAGCGGATGTGTGCAAAGGGCATCAGTGGAGTTAACAAGTCATCTGGACAGGGTGACTGTCAAGAAATCTGCCTTTCTACTCTCTCTCACGCCCGTGAGAAGTCAGTCACCTCTATCAGGGTCATAGGACTGGCTGCGAGACTCCTGCCCCACGAACCGAACGAATTGGCCTTGAGAATCAGCGAGAGAAAGGAGACTAAGGACGGAAGGACATGACAAGGTCTCCTCCTCCCTGAGGGAGCAGGCAGCGGGGAGGGAGGGAGCAACCCCAGCGAGAGGACGCTGCGGGGACAGGATTCCCTGCCGAGCATCTGCCAGCGGCTGGTGACTCAGTGAAAGCGGTGAGGGCCGGGCTGGGGCCGCTGGGCACGGAGGTGACCAGGCGGCGGGGACCCCGAGGCGGGCGCGGCCGCGGGGCTCACCGTGTCCTTAGACGAGCCCAGCTTCTTGAGGCCGTCCAGGGGCAGCAGGTCTGCGGAGTCCTTGTGGATGAACTGCACCGCTTGCTTCATGCGGCGCTGCTGCCGCAGCGACGCCGCCTCTCGCATGTCGGTCTCCTTGCGGCCCCCTTCGGTCAGGAGCCCTGAGTAAAACATCGCTGAGGTGCGCTCGGCCGAGCGACCTTAGTCGCTCCCGGCCCCCAGCGCCCTCAGCCTCGAGCTCCTTCAGCTCTGCCAGCGCCCGCGCCGCGCTTTTGTAGCCGAGCGTGACGTAACGCGGAGCAGCCAGTGCGCGCGCCGGGGGCGGGGCCTGCAGAGCGCCCGCCCACACGCCGCCAGGGGTCCCGCGGCCGCCGCCCGCCTCTGTGCTAGCCGCCAGGGGCTAAAGCGAGTTCGGGACGGGCGGCGCTGCAGGAACTGACTCGGAGCGCCAAGGGGCTACGCAGCCGCGTCACGCAGAGGCCCCTTGCTCCCAAATGCATGCCCCGAATCCCTGGACTAAGGTGAGTACAGGGTCGATGCTCCAGTAGTCCCTTGCACCCTAGCTGCCACGCGGGTCCCTGCTCACCTGTCCACGCCGTGGCCGACCCTGGGATCACCGACAGCTGGGCCATGTGAGAGTCCCGCGCTCGCACCGCTCCTCGGCTGGCAGATTCGCCCCTCTGCCAACCTTCCCGGAGCCCCGCGCCCGCGCACGGCGGGGAGGACAGAGTTGCGAGAGCTCTAGATTTCTGCAACTTCAGGTCGGTCCCCACCCACAGGGCCACGTGACTGGGGAGGGGGCCGCCCGGTGGGCGGGCTGGAGCTGCCCTGGGGACCCTCCTCCTTCGCTGCCGCCTGGCACCATCTGCCAAGGCCCAGCACCTGCGCGTCCGGGCCTGGTTAGGGGGCAGGTGCGGTTGGAAACCTGAAGACCGGCCCGGGACTGCGGGGGCAGAGAGTCCCGACTCCGCGGAAATGCACACGACCTGGAGCCCTACACCTACTCTTCAGGCTCCCTCAGCAGAAGGCACCCGGTTTTTCTCAGCAAAGGCCGGGACTTACCTTCGAGGATGGGAATCTTTCACCCGCCTCTCCAGCATCCTAGTGGCAACAGTTAGAACGCCTTTTCTCTGTGAGTCTCTCATACTTTTGAGACATCCTGAAGGGATTTTGGGGCATTCTGGATTCTGGTCTTGACTTTGTGTATTGGTCCAGACCACTTTTCAGCCCTGGGAAACACCATAGCTACTCTCCCCACCGCATGAGCAGTCACGAACCAAACAGGTCTACATTCTGAAGAGAAACAACAATAAAAGCAAGGACACTTACGGATTTTTTTTTTTTTTAATGGTACCGGGGATGAGACTCACAACCTGGCACTTGCCAGGCAGGTGCTTATGCCACTGAGCTAAATCCCCGGCCCACTTATGGAATTTTTATATGAGTGAAGTTCTGGAAGAAACACTTAAGTATCAACAGCTTATGAGATACTGTTATCACTGTCTGCTTATTCCAGGCAAATAAGAGACCTCTTAACTGGCCTCCTCCATGTTCTATGGCTTCCTTCCTATCCATTGTTGGCTCTAGTGCCAAAATGATCTCAAACTGCAAAGACCATCGGCTCACCTCTGTGCCTCCGTGCCTTAGAAGCTGTCCTACTGCTCTTAGGGAAAGACTCACATTCCTGTGTGGTCTCCCTGCACACAGAGTGGAGCTACCTCTCCACTCTGCACTTGAGCAACATGGGCCTTCCCAACATTCTCAGAGGGGCCATTGTCCCTCTGCTTGGAACGCCCTTCAGTAAATGCCTATGGCTCTTCCAAACCTCAGCTCATTATCATTTCTCCAGAAGAGCTATTACTGATCTTAAATTATACCATACACTGTATCTTATTTCTCCCGGATTTTTCACTGTCTCTCTGTATAGTGCTATTTGTTTAATATTTATCTTCCCCATTAATTGTAAACTCCAAGGTGACTGAGTCCACTTTTGGTCTACCATTGAATCCTTAATACATACAAGTCTGTCAACAAATACTAGTACACGTATGACAAAGTTAAAGATGTCTCAAGGGAAATCAAGCAGTGTAGCCTGGATCTGCCCCTAAAACCTGTATCCTGCTTCTAGAACTTGGAAAGGCTGGGCTTGATCTCCTGAAACCACTGCTACCTGCAGCACTTGCCCTAACTTTGGAGAGGACAGACTGCTCATAAACAAATCAAGGAGACTGCTCACCTGGCTTTAGGGAAGCCCAGGGCTAGATTCTTCTACTCCCTCTGCTCTCCCAAATATGGAAGGCTGGGTCTAGAGAAGGTATGTGGGATTGCTACTCATTTTGCTGCCCCTGGCGTACCTCTAGCAATGAATGACATGGCCACTCTGGCTCCTTCTGTCCCATTGCTTGGGTCCCTGCCTGGTCGTTCCTGCAGAGGCAGGTTGCTAAAGGAGTGGTGAGGGACAGCCTTGTCTCTAGGACAGGTGGCTCTGAGACATCAGCATTAGGATGGGCCCAACAATGAGGGCCCAAATAACTTGAGCTGGGGCTGCTGCTTTGCTGAGGGAGGAAGCCAGGCAGTTAGAAGCTCAAGGGGGAGGAGTTTGAATCTCTGAGGTGGCTCAGCCCTGTCCTGCAACCTTTATTGCAGAGTACATCCCAACAGAAGAAAGCAGCTTTTTTCATTGCCAGATTCCCCTGGGAACACCAGGAAGCTGAATCTCTGGTTGAACTGGAATTTGGCCATATCAGGTGTTGCTGAAAAATAAATGGGACCTGAAAGGAGCTGGGAATCTTTTGTGAATTCAGAGCTCTTAGGGATTTCTGTTTTGCAGTGGAGTTTGTGGCCACAATACTAATTGGTCCCCTCACCTGTCAGAGCCCTTCCTTGGGCAGACTGATACCATCACTGCCCCTAAGCGTAGGTCAGTGTTGTCTGAGTATCTGCAGAATGCAGACTAGTTGCTCAGTTTGAGGAGGGTCACTTGGTTGTTGTACCCAGGACAGGGCAAGTCCTCCCTCTGAGCCTCAGTTTTCATTTCTGCAAAATGGATACAATGAAAGTACACTTTCAGTTATATTTTGTAAACTCTCTAAAGGCTCCACCAACAGAAGGAATATTCTTCTTCTTTTTTTTTTTTTTGTCTTTTCCCTTTTTATCGGTACCAGGGATCGAACTCACGACTGCCTGCTTGCAAGGCAGGCGCTTATGCCGCTGAGCTAAATCCCCAGCCCCATATTATTAATTCTTAAACTAACCAAATTATCCCACCCCATCACTTTGTCTTGGAGGAAGTATAGGGTAGTGGTTAAAAGCACAGGTTTGAAGTCCAAAATAGTACACTTCCATTTCTGCTCTGTCACTTACTATGTGACTTTACTACTAGGAGCATTTAGTTCCTCATTCAGAAGATGGCACCAGCAATATTTCTCTCAGTGCTGCTGTGGAAATTAGTTAATTAAATAATACATGTACTACAATGACACATAGCACAGGTCTGGGCGAAGGCACTGCCACCATGCCTTGGGACAGCCTTTTCAAAACCCATAGGTAGCTGTGCTCCCGGAGTGGACCTGGCCTGTGTTCCCTGTAGAGCTCCAGGCCCACAAGTCAGACCCAAGTATCTTTTCCTTCCTGGATTGAAGGCCTCCTGAGGCAGAGGCTGGTCAGCTTCTTCTCCTTGATTGCTCCAGCTTCTGGATTTACCATGTCAGGTGATCCTTTTCCAGTGTTCCCTGCAGCCCACTTTGACTGTCAATAGAGGATCTAGAGTTGAAAATCGTGCCAGACAAACCAAGGCTATTTCAACTAGGGTTGTTTTCATATTCTTCTTGTAAGCGACAGAAATGCAATTAGAAATTTCTTATGCAGAAATGCAAATTCTTTTATTCATCTTATTACAAAGTGCAGGGTTTTGGGCACAGCTGGATCCAAGGGCTCAAATGACATTATCACTGTGCTTCAGCTCCTGTGCTTCTGAGCTGATGTCCCAGTAGGCAGCTTTTCCTGTCTGATAGCTGTCGGCAGCTCCAAGCTTACAGCCTCTTCTCCGCAGCCTCCTGTGTCTCTTCAGCTTAACAAGGAGGCCTTTGAGATGGGATAGAGGGTAAATGCAGAGACTGGCAGGCCAGAAAAATAGAGGAGAGAGCAGAGGATAAAGTGGAACTGCCAAGAAATTTCTACCCCTTTCCCTTCCGTCCATGCATGTTGCCCTTGGCAGTACCAGGCTAGCCCTCTCTGTCCAGCACCCACATCCTTACAGCTGAGAACTGGCCTCATTCCTCTCTGGTGACCTCAACACTCTCACCTTTTGGCAGATTTTTTAAACAGTTGTTGCACTGCAGGTTGCAGATGTGTACCAGCATCTCTAAAAACCTAGCCCTAAAAACAGTATCAGTTTTGGCAGGTTAAGGCAAAGACAAAAGAGATTCTTCTGTCTCTTCAGGGGATTCCAAGCATCACTGTGGTCTCAAAAGCTAGAGCTGATGGCAGTCCAGCTGGTGTTTTCCAAAGCTGACTAAGTCTTTTGGATCCATTCCTATTAGCACTGATTTGGTCTCATTTTCTAGGATGAAGACTGACTTTGACTTCAAATCAGACAGCAGGAGAGAAAAGAAGGGTGGGGGAACCCCAATGTCTGGCAAGAGTGTCTGATGGAAGTTGGGAAGGGAGGCCAAGCTTGGCTTGTGTCTGCCCCTTGCTCACTGTGGGAACTTGGCAAGTTCCCAGAGCTCTCTGGGTCTCAGTTTACCCTTCATGTTTTAAATAAGATGACATGGAAAGCACAGAGGCCGGTCATGATTTGGGTGCTCAATAAATATGAGTCCTGTCACTTCTTCCTCTCCATGATATGCAGAGAACCTGGGAACGGAGCCCTACCGAGACAAGGGCAAACCCTTGAGGTGGAAGCAAGACCTACAGAGATGGGGAGTCTCTCAGAGTCCAGCAAAGCCTAGGCTGGAGTTGATGTGCCATATCTCCAGTCAGTTCCAGCCAGGGCGAGCACAGCCTGGGGACAGCTCATACCGCCCCCCTCAGGAGGGAGGACCGAAGGACACATGCTGCTTGGGGGTGACAGGTCAGTGACCCGTGCCAGGCAGGCCACAGGACCTGGGGGCAAATGCAGCAGGGGGGTGAAGCGCCCTATGGATCACAGACAGACACTTGGGTGCAGACATATGCATGCACACGCACGCTCAACACTCAGCCTGACCTATTTTCACACAGCTTCACATTGCCAGGAGAGAGAAATCATTCCTGGCTATTTTAAAACTTTTGATGTGGAAACAGTTTCAGACTTACAAGTTGCAAGTATAAAAATAGTACGAAGAATACCTGTATTTCCTTTACCCAGACTACATGTTATTAACATTTGACTCCATGTGCAGTATTATTTGCTTCCTCTGACATACACAAATTTTTCTAAACCGTTTGAGGATACATTGTGATTCTTTGCCACTAAGGCCTCTTGTGTATTTCCTTCGATGGTTTTCTCTTACATAACCACAGTAGGGGTGTAAACTTCATAAATTTACATTAATATAATCTTTTTATCTAAACTGTTTGTGGGCTGTTTTTGTCATTCAGCACACATTCTTTGTCATATTTCTACAGTATGGGTTCCAGGCCTGAGTCAGGCACTACATTTGGGTGTCATGTCTCAGCTTTCTTTAATCTGGAATGTTTCCACAGCTTTCCTTTCCCTTATGACAATGACACTTTTGAAAAATACCATCTCCCCATTTTAGTAACTGTCTTATTATAATATAATTCAGGTACCAGACAATTCACCCACTTAAATTCAGTAGTTTTCAAATATGTTCAAGAGTTGTACCACCTTCATAGTACCGTTTAAATTGTTTCCATTACCTGGAAGAAACTCCATACACATTATTAGCCATTTGCCCCAGTTCTCCAGTGCTAGACAAGCTGTAATCTACTGTCTGTGATCTATGGATTTGCCTCTTCTGGACATTTCCTGTCACCAGAGTCATGGAATGCATGGTCTTTTGTAGCTGGCTTCTTGTCCTTACTATAGTGTTTCTCAAAGCTCATCCATATTGTGGCATGTATCAGTACTTTGTTATGGCCAGGAAATATTCTTAATCAGTTGATGGACACTGGATTTGTTTCCATCCCTTAGCTATTAGGAAAGTGCTGCTATGAACTTCTGTGTATAAGCTTTTCTATACATTTTCTTGGAACTGCTGGGCCCTATAGTACCTGTACATTTAAGGCTCTGCGGAGCTAACAGACTGCTCTTCAAAGTAGCCATGCCATTCTGCCTCCCCAGGAGCAGCATATGAGGGTTCCAGTCTCTCTCCATTCTAGCTAACAGCTGTCATTGTCAGGTTTTCTATGATAGCCATCCTAGTAGGAGCAGTGGTATTGTATTTTGATTTGCATTTCCCTGATACTGTTGATGCTGAACAGCTTTCAGGTGCTTATTGGCCATTTGTTTATCTTCCTTGGAGAAATAGCTATTCACATCTTCTGCTCATTTTAAAATATTTATGTTTTATTATTCAATCACATTAATTCTTTGTATAATGTAGCAGTAAGTTCCTTATCAGATAGATGATTTGCAAAGTTTCTTCCATTTTTGGGTTTTGCCTTTTCACTCCTAGTGGTATCTTTGGAAACACCAGTGCTTATAATTTCACTGATAGGCGGATTAACTTGTTTTCCAACTCCCCTCTTCCTTTTATTTTTCTCTATTTTGTAGCACATTTTTCATTTTGTGTTGATGTTGCCCTGTACTTAGATTGAGTTTATGAATTCTTATCCCAAGTGTTTTATAGGTGATGTTTCATTATTAAGGTATCATACCTGGAGCACAAGATACTCTTCTGTCATTTATTAGGGATGTTAAACTTGATCATCTGGTCATGGTGTTGTCTGATCTCTTTTGGGGCCGTGTACCCTCCATCAGCAGTTGCTCTTTGAGTGCTGGGCCCTCCCAGGCACATGCTGCCCAGTGGTCAGACCCACTATAGCCAGGGCTGTGTCCTCATGTCCCACAGGGGCTCATGTAAATTGCTTGTGTCCTGCTGAAGTGAATGTCTTCACTGGCTTTATGTGCCTATTTGGCATTCCTGGAACCAGAAGAAATGGATTTGGCCATGCTAGAAACATCAGCTTTGAGATATGCAGTTTTGGAGAATGTGTGACTCTGAGAATGGACCTGGCTGGTAGGCACTATCATTACTTATTTCAATCTACCTCAAGAAGAAGCTGAGGAAGTTAAATAATGTGTATCCAGTCACATGGGCTAATCAGTGGAAGGACGGGGGTGCAGATCCAGGTACTGCAGAGAACATAGTGGGAGGGAATGAACATGGAGAGATCTAAATCACAGAGACAGATAATGCATTCTCAGAAAAACACACAAAGAACACGGAGGGTGGGGGTATTCAGCAACCCATGCTGGCTGAGTTACCCTACTTCCTCCGGGGGAGCCCTGAGTGAAGGTTTACTCATCCTCTTTCACTTGTGAATGCATTGCCCAATACAGCTGAAGTCCTGGAGGTGGCGGAGACAGCTGCCTGCCTCAAGCTGAGTCACCTGGAACTAACGTCGGGGTTCCTGCCACGCAGTCCTGCTCTGCCACTGTCGCTGTCTTGCTTCATGGTCCACAGGTTTGTGCCATGACCAGGCGTCACAGGCAACCGTGTCGGCACCTGTGATGATGATGAATTTGTGGTCACACATGGAGGGTCACCTCAGGTTGTGGAGGGTGACCTAGCAGGGCTGGCCAGAGGTCACCTAGGCTCCTTTCTTTACTGCCACCCTCTTCTGCTGCACATGACTGAGTCACACATCACTGGACTCTGTCCTGCCTGTGGCACTTATTCCCAGTCCTGCTCAACAACTGTTGATTTTGTTCAACCTCAGAGCGTATAGTGAGGCAAAGCCGGCACCAGAGCTCAGAACTGAGGTAGGTTTGTATTTGTCCTCTGATAGCTTGTAGGGAAAAGACAGAAAACTAGAAACTATGCCTCCAAGCTTTCCTGCAGTCCTAGCAAAGGTTGTAGGGCCCAAGAACAAGCCAGGAGGGTGCTCCTGGGACTTGCGTCTGAGGCATCACACAAGACTGCAATTTGGGGATCCTACTCCCACTCTTAACTTCTTTTCCCCTTGTTTTAGCAGTGTGTATCTGACAGTCCCTAGTGCCTAAGCCATAAAAACGAGTCGTGAGCACGGTGTGTGTGTGTGTGTGTGTGATTCAAAGAATCATTGGTAGTTTGAAATGACCTCGTGATAGTTTCTAAAGGTTTTTATTATTTTAGTGTTATAACAAAACAGTGCTTTAATATTATGATAATTATTCATTTATAAGTATTTATTATAATTATTATATTTTATTTAATGTAGCCCAAGACAAATTGTCTTCATTCAAAAACATGAAGATTAAAAGCAGTGTGGGGGAGGGAAGTGGAGACAGCTGAACAGTTTCCTCCTTGGATCACTAGTTTTGGGGCCAGAAACAAAGAAAACATCTAAACAGATACATTCCTAGAGTTATATCAACCACCATGTAGTGAATCGGTTATCAAACCAGAGCTCATTTCCCAGAGCCCTCATATTTTGTTTCGCCATTGAGGGACAAATTTAAACTCCCAAGCAAAACTATGGGCCTTGAAACGCAGACCAACTCCACTTAGTAGCCACTAGGTGGCGCCTGCTCTGGTAGTTGCGTGTTCGTCATTTTGCTGCGGGAGGGAGCTTGTCCAAGTCAGTGCCCTGGGTTCATGAGGTGGATGATGGACTCCTATGAGCAGCCATTCCCCCCACCTCAGTTTATCTTTAAACTTTGTGTTCCGATTTTTTAGTTTGTTTTTCAGTACCGGGGATTGAATCCGGCAAGCACCAAGCTGTATCCCGGGCACTTTTCATTTTGTGTTTAGAGGTAAAAGCTCATTAAGTTGCCCATGCTGGGCTCCAAGTTGAGAGCCTCTTGCCTCAGCCTCCCAAGTAATTGGAATTACAGATATGTGTCACAGTGCCTGGCAAAATGTGCTATTTTTATAACGTCTGTCACTACTTGATTTTACATTTTATGTTTATTTGCTTATTTGTCTCTCCACAATGGAATCTAAATTCCACAAGAGGGAACATCCGGGCTGGGGATTTAGCTCAGCGGCATAAGGGCCTGCCTTGCAAGTGTGTAGTCATGAGTTCGATCCCTGGTACCAATAAAAAAGAAGAAGACAAAAAATAAAAAAGAAGAGGGAACATCCTACAATGCCTAGTAGACACTCTGTAAATACATGCCACAAAGAATTATTAGTAACTAAGAATTATAATTCTACTTGGATTTCCCTTGCGAAGTAATGTGAAAACCAAGCAGTACTAAGTTAACTGTCATCGCTTGCTTTAGGTGGACTTAGTTTTATCCCGTGTAGTCCACTAGAAAATCCTGCCTGTGAATTAGTTTCATTTTCTAAATCTATTTAGATTCTGTTGTGTGTGGTGTGGATACGCTTATGGTGGCATCACTGGCCTCAGTCACAGTAGCAGTCTCGCTTGCACCCAGGGTCTCCCAACACCATCTCCTTTGGAATGATCCTGGGTGCCCACATGGTGGCAGTGAGAGAAGCTGGGGCCCACAGTTCCCAGAAAGGGAGCCTCACGCGGCCTCTGAGTTCCTGTGGCTCGGTCCCTGCTGGCTCTTCTGGATGTAAATCTGGAGGCAGCAGCTGCTGCCTGGTGGGAGGGCCCAGGATGAAGGGCTTTCACTGCTGAGGAACCACTTTACTCAGCCAGCTGATCCATTTGCCTCCCTAACGCAGCTGGGGGTAGGTGTGGGGTGCAGACATGGGTGTGGCTCTCAGATTGGTCCTGATTAAGGCATCTTTCTGGGTCCAAACGATTGCAAGTGGGCCTGGCAGGGGGCCCTGGCTTTTCCCGTGCACAGGCCCATCAACTGCAGCCCCCTGCCACTGGCAATGGTGCAGATCCATCTTCCTGCAAAGATCTACCAGAGGGCCAGTGAGTCCTTGCTTGGTGCCCTGCAGCTCTCCTGAGTTACCACATGACATTTTAAAATCACCTGCAAACCTAAATCCAGAGTGCCTACAGACCACGCACTTAACAGCTCAGAGGATGACTCAGAGGAAGCAATTTTCCACAGTGAAGATAATCATCTGTTGGTGTGAAAAAGCAAACAGTCTTTCATTAGCGTTGGAAACTCAAGGGGAACTTGCTAAATCCATAGAGGCAGCACTTCAGTAAGTGGCTAAAGAACAATACCACAGCTGGAAGAGAGGCCTCTCACACACCCCCTCCCCCTCTTCTCTTGGAGAAAAGGCAGCAGCTCAGCTCTGCTCTCTTCCTGTTTACTTCGTAGGCAGCTCCTCAGAGCTCCTGGGTCCACTTCATCCACAAACGAAAATCCCCCTTATCCTGGAGGATGTGTCCCAAGGTGGTCCAGGAAGACTGGAAACCACAGGTAGTCCTGAGCCCTGTGTACACCTTTCTTCCTGCATTTGCACACCTGTGATAAACTTTTCCTCCTAACTTAGGCACAATTTCACAAATGGGAAGGGGAAGGGGGCATAAAAAGAATTAAGATGTGCTCTGTACGCGTGCCAGCTCCCCGCAATGAATGTAATTATCATGTACTACGCACATTATAATGAAAATGCAAAAAATGGTATCTTCCTGAAAGAGTTAAAGACATCATATTACAGTGAGCCAGACACACTCACGCTGTAGCAGCACAATTCATAATAGGTACATCCTAGATGTATCCATGTGTCCATCAGCAGATGGATGGATAAAGAAAATGTGGTGTTTATACCCAAAGGAGTCCTACTCTACCAAAAAGAAGAAATTTGAGTCATTTGTGGGAAAATGGATGCAACTTGAGGCAACAAGTGTTGAGTGATGTAAGTCAGACAGATGAACTTGAATATCACATGGTTTCCCTTATATAAGGAACTCAGAATACAAAGAACAAAATAAAAGATAGATGACAAGCAGTAGGGAGATAGAGCTTTTTCAAATATGAAGAAGAACAAGAAATTGAGAGGGAAGAGGAAGGAGAGGAAAAGGGGATAAAAAAGAATTAAGATGTAGTTGTCAGGTAATATGCACCAACTCCCCACAAGAGGTGTAATCAGGTAATGCAAAATGTACTATTAAAGAATAAAAACTAATATTAATGAGGCACAGTAGGAGATTAACAACAATTCATGATAAAATAGAACAACTATAACATACTGTAATAAAACTTAGGAATTTTCCACTTAATATTTCGAGATCACAGTCAACCTGAGGTGTACAGAGGAGAAGACCACTTAACCTGGGAAAAGCTCATGTCCTTATTCTACGAGATTAAAACAGATTCCAGTCCTGACCTTCCCGTGGCTTCAGTTAGCCCCTTTCCTATCTGAACTCCCCACGTGGGTGGCTAATAGGTACTTTGAGCCTGGATGGGCCAAAGCAGAATTCTCAGTCTCCTCCTCCTGTCCACTGTCCTATCACTATATAAGAAATCATCCCCAAAGCTAGTAATTTAAAGCAACCATATTGTCATCAGATGGGGCCCAAGGAGGTCTCCCCAAGAGGGGTTGGGGACTTCAACTCTCCTCCCCTCCCCCAGCAGGTGTAAGTTTGCTGACTTCCACCAGAGAAAACAGATTTTCAAGATGGGTTGGGGAGAGGCATAAGGGATTATTAGACAGAATCTTAAATCTATTCCCTTAAAACTCAGAAGGAATAGAGTTGGGCCCTTGGGAGAGAGGCATGTTGTGGTCTGGAGCTGGGTATATTCCTGTGATCTTGGGCGCATCTCAGGGTGACTGGTCTGGGTGTCAGTCACCATCTGAGGGCTGTGACTGATTGTAGTCATTTTCATGTGTTTGAAGCTGAGCTGCTGCCTCCTCAGCTACGCTGCTTTCCTAGGATGTAGTGTGTTGGAGGGAAGGCAATTTCCAGGTAAGAAGCCCGGCACCAATTTATAGCCTGGTTGTATCTTAGGACTTTTAGGAATTCTCAACCCATTTTTAAAATGGGTTTCCTGGAAGGGAATAAGGTATCGTAATCTTGGGTAATCTTTGTGTCCTGTTTTCTTAAAAATACAAGTATAGTGTTTCTTGTCTCCTTGCTATCCATATTTATTTTTTCTGCCCTACTGCAGTACTGCTAGTTTGAGACTAGTTGAGACAGGGTCTTCCTCAGGCTGGCCGCAGACTCATGGTGATCCTCTTGCCTCAGCCTCCTGAGTGCTGGGATGAAGGCATGTGCCACGATGTCTGGCAGCATTCTTAGTGTTGCTCATAAACCTGTGATTTTTGTGTGGCTCCACAGGGCCCCCTCCAGCTGAAATATCAGCTGGGACAGCTCAATTTAGGACCACGAGTGCAGTTCCAGGATGGCTCATGCACAGAGCAGCTGCTGTCCTCCGGACACTCATGTTGGTCTGTGGGGCAGGGATGAGGTTCCTCTCCCCGAAATGCTGAGGCTTTAAATGCCTGGCAACTGAGTTCCAGGTGTGGGTGATGAAGGAGAAGAAGCAGCAGCTGCTAGTGTCTCAGCTCTGTGGGCCTGGAAACTGGCAAAGCATTCATCCTGTCGTATTCTATTAATCCAACGATCACAGCACCCAGGTTCAAGAGGAAGGCAGCCTCCAACTTTCTTTGGAGACATCAAAGAACTTGAGGATGTGTTCCAGAACCACAACAGGTCCCAAACCTGCTCCTGCTCCATCCACCAACTGCTCAAGCACCTAGGAATCACCTTTGACTGCTCCTGGAGAAGGCTCTGCTGGCCAGGTCTGCGCAGCCTCCTTCCAGCCCTGTACATGCCCACCTCTCACTTTCTTGTAGAACTGAGAATACATTTGCACTCCATGAGAGCCAAGTTACTAATGTGCCTGGGCGAGATGGGGCGGCTCAGCCTGCCTGTCCCCAACAGCATCAGTCCACTTGCCGATTTGAGTTATTTTCACCTAACAGACGCAGGAGGAAGTTCCAGCATGACAAATTCCAAATGCTTTGTTTCAGTGATTTTATTTTTATTATTTTTATTATTCTTGGTACCGGGAATTGAACTCAGGACTTCACATTTGCCAGGCAGACACTGTGCCACTGAGCTATATCCCCAGTCCGGATATGTTTTTTTAATGAAGACACTTAAACTTTTGATGAAAGATCTGAAAATGGACATTTAGGAACATTCCAAATAAAGAGGAAGTCTCAGGACTTACAAAAAAATTGATGTTACTAAATGAATTTTAAAAAAATCTCACTGAGGTGGAAAGTTCAATAATGAGATAGGCTTTGTATTCTTAAAAAAATACTTGTTACACTCATTTTTTAGTACTTTGGTGTAGAGAATCAATTGCATGAAGACATTGAAATCACAAAACACTATGGCCCCTCGGTCAGTCCTTCCCTCAGGGAAGTGGCAGCTTGTTGAGAGGGTGTTTTTCAATCCATTGTAATGAGATTTCCCCTAGGGGTTTAAATGTTGGAAAACTCAATACTATTGGAAATGTAAGCTCATATGGGAGAGACTGATATGAGGTGCCCTTGTGCTAGTCAAAGTGAGATGGCATAGGGAGGCCAGTCACAACTGTGCCTGTTAGGACACTAGACAGCGAGCGCTTCCCTAGCAGTGCTGCTCAGGTCCTGGGAGCAGAGCCCGCTCTGCCCCTGGACGGTGGGGAAGGAAAGCATCAGAGACCAGCTGGGCATCCTTGGACCGCGGCCCCAGTGGTAGGAAGCACCTGGCAGAAGGAAGACCTTTGGCAGTACTGACTTGGGGTTGGTGAGATCTCCTTGTGACGTGGGTGATTCTCAGCCTCCTTGAGATCATGTCCAGCCCAAGTGCAGCACTCAGCTCTGTCTAAACACCTGCTCTGTGCATTGGCTGCGGGGTACCGCAGGCAGCTAGGAAGGCAGGCATAGGTACACACTCATGTCAGCAGAAGGGCCTAGGTTTTTATCTTATTCCTTCTGTTTTCAGTATTTTTTTAAAGTCTGTCATTTAGAACTCAAGCTCCTGAGATCACACACACCATGTGGGGTGAAGGCTGTGGGGAATGAGTCCTACTGGGTCTCAGTGTGGACGGGCGCCCCGGAGGGCTCCCCACCTCCCTTCAGGCCTGTTCTGCTCCCTTGGAGCCTGTATGTGGGCTGGATGAAGCCGAAGCTTCAGACAGAGCAGCCCCTTCCATGCCTCTTCTTCACCACAGGGTCCGGGAGGAGGAGTGGGAGGACCAGGTGGACGGTGAGTCTCACCTGCACTGTCTGAAGTCCAGCTCAGCTGCCCTTCCTGCCTCTAAGACATCTGCCCTCAGCAGTGAGAAGCTGGGGCCACTCAAAGCCAGGCTCAGTCCACTCCACAATGGTGGCAAAGAAAAAACAAGTTCAGTTTACCAAAATATCTGTATTATCTATAAAAATTGAACTCTAACGAGTCACTGATACTGCAGCAGCGAATGCCCCGCAGTGGCATGCAGAAGGCGGACGGCTCTGACCCACCCAGCCCCCAGCAGAGCGCTGTGCTGAGCGGCACAGCAGAGTCATTTGTAAGGCCTCAGGAACCTGGACACTTTGGAACGTAGCAACCGGATGAAGGATCTTGGAAACATCTCTCGGGACTCCTGGGCTGTGTACTTGAAATAGTTCTGAGGGTGGGCCAGGACATCGAACAGAGCCTTGATCAGTTTCTTATCCTAAAGAGAAGAGAATGTTTGTTACCATGCCAAAATATTTAAACATTTTGCCATTTTGCCAGTGGAATTAGAATGACCCAGTATAAGGCAGTAGGTTGATTAACTGAAAAATACTTTGAGAAAATTGTTTCCTGATTTTTATCTCCTTCCTACTTTTCATTTTCCTCAATTATCTGTAGTATGCATTAATGTTTTGGGGGTCGTTGGGAAGTATAAAGCTAGGACCTTTATACTGAGCTACATTCCCAGTCACTTTTTCTTTTCAGTCTTTCTGAGACAGAGTCTCGCTATGCAGTTTAGGCTGGCCTTGAGCTCACTTTGTAGCCCAAGCTGGTCTCACAAGAATCCTCCTACCTCAGCTTCCTGAGTACTGTGATTACAGGCATGCACCACCACACCCAGCTTTTTAATCCTTTTTAATTTTGAGATAGGGTTTCACTAAATTACAAAAAACCCAGGATAGGCTCAAACTTGCAATCTTCCTGCCTCAGCTTCCTAGCTCATTTGCATTACTTTTTTGGGGGCAGGTGACATTTACTGGGAATGGAACTCTGGTGCTTGTGACGCAGATGCTTATGCATTACCTTTTAAAAGAAAATTTAATATGTAAAAAATCTGTTTTCCCTCAACCAGATGAGATGCAACACAGGAATTTGGGGACTATTTATAGAGTTGGTGATACACAATCATTTGTTGCTAATTATGTGTCTAAAATTTGGTAGATAAATAAGGAGCCATGTGTCTTTTACTACTTGAAATTAATGTGAAAGCATTATGTGCCACTGGCTTGGCTTGATAAGCAAGTTTCCTCGGCCTTGCCTTTCTACAAATTTCCAAATTAAAAAGCATATTTCCACTTGACAACACAGAAGGCAGAAACCTTTTTAAAAAAATAATAAAGACTGGGTAATGTCTGATGTTGGCCCAGGGCAGGTTTGGGGTCTGAAAGGTGGCGGGATGGGGCAGCAGGGCCCTGTCCCAGGGTGCTGGGAGCTCTGGATATCACCATGTGCTCCTGGGGCAGGTACTCACCTTCAGTATTTCCTGGTGGTTCTCGGATGCATAGAGCCTGCCATCTCGAACTATGTCTTCAATGAGCTCCTGGTAGTCCTCTGTTGGAATAAAAGACATTTTGCAGTCATACGGTTTAGTATTTCTAAGCTTGCTGTTTGGATTTTCATAAGGTTCTGAGGCATCCCCTCCTGTGGCTGCTCTCAGCGCTGGCCATTCCATTCCTGAGAAGGCCATCAGCCGAGCAGTCCATGGCCTGTCTTTCTGTCCCCTCTTCTCTCAGAGGAGCCCGCTCTACATCAAGGTGGTGCTCAGCTCTGCACTTGGCACACTACACCCATCTTCCCTCACCAAGTCAAGGGTGTTTGTGCCAGAACTTGTGTGCTTTCTTCCTGACATGATAGAATTTCCTCTCCTCTGGTCTTTCCCATTAGCATGCACACATGCACTTAAAAATCCCTCTCTTGACTTCCTGTCTCCCGTCAGCTTCAGCGTTGTCCCACTTCTCTCCCTTTGCAGCAAAACTTCCTGAAAGAATGCCCATCCTTATCCTTTGCTTATCCTCTTCACTTTGCCCCTCATCTCTGTCTTTAGGTTATGTTCTAGCAGACAGTCAGGCTTCTTCCCCACCCCTCTTTATGGGAATGGGGTTGGGGATGGAGAATTTAGTTGGCCAGAAAGGAGGTGGGCTCTTTCCACTTTCTCATTAGTAATGTTTTGTTCTGACACATACATCAGTGTGATGTGCACAGTAATCTTCCACTGGTAAGCCCCACACCCTCAAAGTCTAGCTTGTTCCCTAAACTCACAATTCAGATCAAGCATATGCGAAGCACAATCTTCCAAATTCCAGACACATTAAAAATGCCTCTTTGTATGCAGATCATGCACTGCAAAGCCACACAAATATGAGATCATTGAGACTGGGTGGAAGGAGCTTTAAAAAGTTTCTTGGTTAAGAGATAGTAAATGGAAATTAAATCTTTAATATTCATAATTACTAATTAATATATATACAATATCATTGCTATTCTACTATTATGATATCTTTTTCCTTATTTTTACTAAACATAAAATATGAATAAGGGTGCAAGTGTTATTTTATTTACTTTTTGCCTTGAATCCTCCTGTTGTAGCTCTATCTCGGAGCCCTGCTACTTTCCAAGAGAGGAGTTTATCAGGCACATAAAATTTGGTGCTGGTGTAACTGAAAACAGGACTGCCATTTGTCACCACTCCAGATGCTTCCAGATTGCTACCTCTTGTGTTTCCTCTGCTCCCAAGAGCTACTGTGTCTCCCCTCTCGTGCCAGTCATTAGAGAAGGAATGAAGCACTGGAGTTAAAAACCAGGTTCTGGAGCCCCAAAGAACTGGGTCAATCCCAGCTCTGCCACTTTGATACAATGTGATTTGGGCTACTTACATTTCTAAGCCCGAGTGGCCTATAGTATAGAATCAGGAAATACCTGCGTCCACCTCATGAGTGACTGTGAGAAATGTTCTTTGAGCTGGCAATAGTGGCTACTCAGGAGGCTGAGTTAGGAGGATTGCCAAGTGTGAGGCTAGTTTAGGCAACTTAGCAAGACTCCTGTGTTGAAATAAAATAAAACTTAAAAGCCCCTGAGACTGGGGATGTAGCTAGTAGTAGTTCCTGAGCTGGTGTGCACACGGTCCTCGGTTCAATCCCCAGGACTGAAGACAGTGGGGAGACTGCTTCAGTATTCAGCAATACCCAGCACTTGTTAGCCAGGAGTGCAATGATTGCTGTTCTCCAGCGGTTGGGTGGCTCATCTGCAGGAGCCTCAGCCCACTTTTTAAATGTCATTTCTGGGGTTTGAAAGTGGCTATCAAACTTACCTGCAATATGTTTTAAAACCAGACTCGAGTGAAGACCTGAGGAGCCAAGGTAGCAGTTTTCAACTGTGTCACATGCAAGACACTCTCAGGAACCTAACCAGGGTTATGTATAATTTCTCCAAGCTACAATGGTTAATTTTTTGATTTAAAAGAATCAAACATTTTCACGCATCACAAAGGCAGAGATGCAAACAGCCACACTCAGGTATGTGAGCTTTGGTGACACTGATTCTGCAGGGTCTAGCGAGGAGAGACTGTGGGGGCCACTTCCAGGTGGACAGCTGGGCTCTTTGTCTCCCATAGCAGAGCCACATGGAAGGCTTTCAGTGCACCCTAGGAGTCAGACACTGAATGCCCTTGTCTTGGGTGTCTGGGTGAATGCTCCTAGCTTTTGTCACACGTTTGAAATAAACTATGTGAAGTATTTTTAGGACAGACACAGAATACTGTATTTCTAAACATCTAATTTTGTCACTTTGTCTAAAACATCTGCCCCCCTGAGCCGGATGCTCAGGGCCCATCACAGCCGACCCCCCATCCTCTAATCTCCTCTTGCTGCCCCAGCCATGCTCCCTGCCCATGGCCAAATCGTGCCCGCTCCTACTGGGCACTTTTTCCCTTGGCCAAGTCATTTGCTTCCTGAATGTTCTTCCTCTCCATTTCTGCCTCCACCCCACCCTGGCTGAAACCTGTATGTTTTCCCAAGTCCCAGCTCTCTTAATATGGTATCCTGTTCCTTGCATGCAGAGTAACCACTGCCCCTTCCACACCCACACAGTACTTGTCCATGCCCTGTTAAAGTATCCATAAACATATAGACATTTTTGTGTTTTGTTTCTGTCATCAGAATTTGGCATACTAGAGGCTCACTAAATATTTGTTATATGCACAAATTCATGAATGGGCAGATATACTCTTCCCCCACTAGATGGACTGTGAGCTCCTCTAGGACAAGGTTCAATTCATTTTATGCTCCTGATAAATGTCTGTTAACCAACTCTCAGAGCTAGATAGGGTGCCAGGACTTAGAAGAGCCACCCTTTTTATGTAAGATCACGCAAATGAACTCAGGTCTTTTTCCTTCCATATAATAAAAGCCAGAATCATAAGAAATGAGGATTTATTGAGCAATTACTATGTGCCAGGTACTGCACCAAGTCCTTTAGGAATTCTCACATTAAGGCTAATATCAGAGGTAGAGTGTGTGCTTAGCATGGGTGAGGCCTTGGAGGCAGGAAAGAGAGGAGGAGGCAGAAAAGAAGGAGAGGAAATGAGGCTGAGATGGGAAGAGATAATGCCCAGGCGGTCTGACTCCAATGCCGATGCTATTACCTACCAACCTGCACTCACTGTAGTCTCTAAAGTGTGTTTTCATCCCTAGTGAGTGTCCCCAAAAGCCTGTTTAAAACATGGCTCTGGGAGTCAGTGATGTCCTTTCCCCTCCCCTTGCTTGCCTCTCCCAGTGGTGTGCTTGCCAGCAGTTGGCCAGCTACTCAGAAGCTGGCTCTGTTGAGAGCAGAGCCGCCTCTGCCCTTGCTGTGTGCAGGACCTGAGTTCTGTGCTTACCATCGTATGTCACATACGGGACCTGGAACCCTCTGGCGCTGTTCCCTTCATTGGACTTAAACTGAATCCACAGCTTCTTTGACCTGGAGGTGAAGGCGATGGGGCGTTCGTAGGTCTGGCAGGTTTCATACGTGGTCACAGAATTGGATGAAGCTGCCAAGGGAAGTGGGAGAGGGTGGGGTTCAAAACTGGCCACTGAGCAGGCAGGCAGCGTCTGCGTGTCTGTTTAAGACACTCAAGCCATAGTGCAGATTCCACCTGGGAGCCCGGAGGAAGCCCAGCAATCCTGGAGACAATGCACACTCAGCTGGTGACTGTGTGGCCCTGTGAAGGCAAAGCTCACCCTCCCACCCAGGGTGTCAAATCCACAGCAGATGCTGGAGAGAGACAGGGTCCCCCACTTCCAGAGCGGAGTTACTGTTTTCTAATCATAATCACTCCCACTTACTACATGCTTCCTGAGATTTGAGGGTTTCTTTTTTTTAATGGACTTTATCTCATTTAATCCTCTGAAAACCATAGCAAATTGGTACAAAATGCTTAACTCTTACACAGGGAGACCAAGGACTGGCCCAGGCCCACACGGCCAGTCTGTAGTGAGGTCAGGATTCAAGCCTTCACCTGACTTTGGACATTTCAACCACTAAAAAGAAAAGCAAACATTTATACAGTGGCTCCATATGCCATGTTTTTCTAAGTGCTTTACAAATCTGAACCTGTTATTCCTTCAAACAGTCCTGTGAGGTAGCTACTGTTATTTGCCCCACTTTCCTGGCTGAGGAGACTGCAGAGCAGGAGGCTCACGCTGTCTGCTCAAGAGGATGGAAATAGCGGAGGGGCGCTGGCCTGAGCCCACTCACAGCACCACCACTGAGCCATGCGATGGCAGCGTCCCCTTGTGGTCACTGGGCCACATCAGGATACAGGGAGGGGCCCTTTTTGGTCTTGGTTAGTTTCCAACCTCCAGTTGCTATCCAGGGGGAAGCAATGTCTAGAGCCAGCACTGCAGGAGCCTGGATTCCCTGGAGAGAGCGCCCAACAAACCAGGGGTACAGACAGGAAGACTGGCCTGCAGGGCCCCTACCGCTGGCGCTTGGCAAGAGGCCTCAATGTGTACGTTTAGTCTAGGTCTATAAACTCACATCACATCTCTGCTCTAATACCGGGGTGACAGCCTAGGCCTACTCCTCACAGTCAAAGCTCAGGTGCAGGTTGACAGCCTTCCAAGCTGGCCTGAGAAGGGGGAAAGGCAGAGGGGAGACGCACAAGTTTTCCGCATCACCAGGTAGTCTCCACAGTCGTCCTCTATGGGCAGGAAGATCTCAGGGACCACAATCAAAATGCGGCGCTTAGGGGGTGGGTTGATGGTCCAAGTGCACTCGGTGTTAGCTGGGTAGTTGCCTGGGTAGTTTGGGGATTCGATGTATCCTGTGAAATCACCAAGCTCCCCTCCACATCTTCTGTCTGGAACAGGAAATGCTATGTGTTATGAAGGCACAACACTGTCATCTCTCTGTCATGGCCACTGACAGCCTGGCTAAGAAATGCAGCTCCTTAGTGCCACCAAGGAATGGAGGTGGACACGGCACTCTCCTTGGAATGAGGCTGTCCCATAATGGTCAAGGCCCCCTTTTAGAAGCCAAAAGACATGAACTCTCCACAAGGAGTCAACTCCCCAGTTCCTGAGGCAACAGTTTCTTACAACCCCGAGACACTAAGGTCAGGTGTTACTAAACAAAAGCACAAACTTAGTTTTCCATGTTTTGTTTACAAGTTCAAGGGAACCCATCATCGAACTTCTAGCTCCCTCAATGAGGGAGAACAGAGCTTACTTCTCAGTGGAGTAATTCACCAAAAACTTTGATGAAGATAAAACAAACATCATTTTTGTTATTTTTCTCAGATTAAAAACATTTTGCTTTCAGTACAGAAGAGAGTTCAAATTAGATGTCATTTTTGGTATGTTGGATATTAATCTCTGGCACCAAAGGCAAGAAGTGTGTGTGTGTGTGTGTGTGTGTGTGTGTGTGTGTGTGTGCGCGCGCATGCGCACACGCTCACACATCCACCCACAATCCCTCGCGTCAGCTCTGACTTCCTTCACTGAATTCCCATTTAGCCAGCATGTCACCCACAGCCCTGGGAGGTTCAGAACCGAGACACGTCGTCTTCCCTCAAGCCTGTTTTCTAATACTGCCAGGTACGCCTGTTCAAGAGATACTGAAGAGATTATTTCTTCTCTATAAGTGGGAGTTATTAATACCAGTGGAAGCAGCAAATAGGCCTTCCTTCTTCGAAAGAAACAATGGGGAGGGGATAGCCTCAGAGTTAAAAAAGCAAAACAAAACAAAACAAACAAAACTGCCCTAAGGCCTGAAGGGTTAGGAACAGCTATGTGGCCACCAAGGGTCAGGAGTGGGAAGACAAAAGTACACAGTCATCCAAGTATATGAAGAATTTCCTAATACTGTGAACTTCCCCAAAGTATAACTAACAGCACATTAGGACCCCATACAAGGTAGTGGGTATTCGGGTGAAACTGGTTGGTTTTTTTTAGACAGGGTCTTGCTGTGTAGTTCAGTCTGGCCTTCAGTTCATTATGTATCCCAGGCTGGACTCCAACTTGCAGCGACCCACCTGCCTCAGCCTCCTGAGTGCTGGGATTACAGGCATGCACTACCACACCTAGCTATATTGATGACTGTTTATAAGGATGTTGTTAAAAGGGCTTTATTGGCACAGAGAAAAAACTAGATTAACTTTCCAATCATAAAATGTAAACCAGTCACTGCCCTGCTCAATTCCAAGCACCTCCAGTTTGGGGAGGCCTCTTTGCCTCTTGGGATTTTTCTATCTTAAAAATACCACATTAGTTGAGATTCACTTTCGTCCTTAGCTAGAGAATTTTACTTACTGGTCAATGGAGGAAGCCCACACAGCAAGTCCCGAAATGATTTGCTCCCCCACTGCTAGAAAAAAATGAATCAAACTGCTTGGCTTGGCATTCAAGGCCTTCTTTCCTCTATACCTGTCTCTCCTGTGCTTAGGCCCTGGGGTCTCTTCCCTGAAACCTTTCACTTTCCCGAGTCTGAGCTTCCCTAAAGCTGCCCTCTTGGCATGAAGCTCCCCCTCACCCTGCCCTTGCCTTTCCATAAACCTTCCAGGCCCCATGGAGCCATTCTTCACCTCTCTAGACCAGTCTGGCTCCTTCCTCTGCCGCCCTAGCGGGCTGACTTACTCAGCAGAGTGGCTCGTTAGGTCCTGTGCTGACCGTGGCTGAGCTGAGGGTGTGTTCCAGCAGGTACAGGTGTGCGTGTGGCTGGGGAAGTGTCCAGCACCACTGAAGGCCAATAGGGGCTAGGATGGGGCTTGGTAGTAAAGGATGTGCTTTATATGCTCAAGGCCCTGGGTCTGATCCCCATTTCCAGGCGAGGAGACCCAGCCCTCGGGCACAGCTGTGAGGGGGCTACAGCATTCTTTCTGCTCTGAAGGAACCTGGCCCTGGGCCACCACCTCTGCCACCTGCCCCAAGGCAAACCCAGACACTTGTCCTCTTCATCAGGAAGCAAAAAGCCTTAGAGCAACACCTACTTTTACACTGGGTTATGTTTGTGGAGCCATCAAAGTCAGTTGTAGTATTTCCTGGGCAGGAAACACAGCTATTTTTTCCAAATTCAGGCTGGTATGTCCCCGATGAGCATCGGATACACCGGTGAGTGGTGGTGTTGTAGAAATGCCCGGGTGAGCACTGAACTGTGGGATGGGGGAGGACAAAGAGAAGGAAAATAAAAAGAGGAAGAGGAGGAAGAGAAAGCAGGAGAAAGGAGAATAAGAAGTCTGTATTCTTATCAAATGCAACACAAAAGGTTTCAAAGTTTGTGAAATAAAAAAACTTTTTGTACTGGGAATCGAACTCAAGACTTTGCACTTAAGCAGGCAGGTGCTTGTGCTTCAGAGTTATATCCCTGCCTAGAATAAATTGTTATGCCCAAATGAAGTGGCACTTTACTGCCAATTTGTGGCTAATCAATGCTTAATTCCCTAAATACCCAGAGTGGGTGGGGCTCATGTCATTGATAAAACTACACAGGAACAAGATGCAGGTGTGTTTTTAGCTTATGGTTCATGCAGCTAAGCACTAATGACCACAACTGAAGTCCTCAGGCTGACCTCAGTCGTGAGCACTGAGAGCTGCAGACTGAGACTGGGCGTAGATTGGGCTCCCTAAGAAATGCTGGGAGTAGGGCTCTGGGGAAGGGATAGGACCATCAAGGTAGGATAGGGGCTCTAGACCAGGTCAGAGATTAGCAATGGATGAAAAGAGCCCAAGAAGCCTGTGAGCAAAACCTGCCCCTCTCTCTCCTTGAGTCGGCCCTGGTCAGCCCTGGTGGCAGGAATCAAGGTGACTCTTGCACAGGGACTTGAACTGCTAACCCTGGTGGCATCATACAGGGCATGTCTGGACTGGGTTTGGTTGGACTCCACCAGACCCCCAAGGTACTCAAAAAGGAAACTCAGTCCTTTTTGGCCTAGAAACAGGCCAGCTGCCACGTGCTCACCTCTGGTTTCACAGTCCTGGAAGGAAGTAGCTCCCAGATGTTTGGTGGGGAGGCCTCCTCCACAGGAGAAGCAGGAAGTACGGCCCGCTTCTGGCTGGAATGTGCCCAGGGCACAGAGCTGGCAAGGTGCAAAGCCATCCACAGAATATTCACCAGGTTGGCACAGACCTGAGGGACAGACAGCCCTAAGTAAGTAAGGCTCCAGGCAAACCATTTTCCTCAGACCTATTACCCTGCACACAGTTAGCTCTGCCCTGCCTCTGACCCTGAGTAGACCAGGTGAGTGCCTGGGGTTTATACACAGCGCTGCCCAGCACAATGCCAAGACAGAAACTCCTGGTTTCACAAGGTAAGTCTGGGGTTAGCTTGGGTTTAGGCCTGTACCCTGCCCTGGAATCCCTGTAATGCAGAAGCATCTAGAGACAGAGTCCTCTGATCAAGATAAATCTGCTGATTAGACCCAGAAGTGTACCTTCACTCAGCTGATTATACCGTAGGGACATAAAGTGACCTGGTGATCTCCCCCGCTTTAGCAATTATATTTACTAAGTTACATCTTCTTGTTCAGAAGCATGTCCTGGCCCACACTGACAGAGGGGTCCAGTGACATTTACTTTATTTTTTTTTAATTTAATTTTTTTTGTCTTTTTTGTTTTTATCGGTACCAGGGATTGAACTCACGACTGCCTGCTTGCAAGGCAGGCGCTTATGCCGCTGAGCTGAATCCCCAGCCCTGACATTTACTTTAAACAGTGATTCACTTTTTTTTTCAGGGTTAGGACTAAAGCACAGCCAATAACAAAAGGATTCCTAAAAGCATACATTCCCTTAGGAATTAGCTTGTCATTGGCTAATGCTCTTAAAATCTTTTGCTTCTTGTATCCCTGACCATCTCTCCTTTATTAGTTTTAATGGTCTTCTTTTTCCCACTTCTTGGTTGTATGACCTTGAAGCAGTCACTTTAGCTCACAAAGTTGTAGTGATATAACCACCTAATAAATCAATCATGTTGTACACTTAGCCTGCAAAGGTATTTAGTAAATATTGTTATACTTATTAAAACTATTATTATTTTAATGCTATTAATAATATTCTGCTTTTATATCTCAATATTCTGCTTTTTTATATCAAATAGAAAGGTGAACTGATGTCCCGGAGTGCCCTCTTAGTGGTTCTGGAATTTCAGGGCAGGCAAAGATATGGTTAGCAGTCAGCAACTCAGCTGGAGGATCTGATTTTTAGGGCAGCAATGGCCCTGCAGTTGAGTTTGGAGTCTTTTCAGTGGGGGCTAAAGCTGGACCTCAGAGTCACTGGAAGGAGCCCCCGGGCAGCATGTGGACTCATGCAGCTGCATCTACCAGTTAGAAATCACCATTTGGATCACACCTTGCATTCGAGCCCACAAAGTGTCTGTACAGCCAGCCCTTCCACCATTCAATAAAAGGAAAAGCCCACAGAACTTAACCGAGCTTGGCTTCAAAGTTAAAATTTTATGAGATGATTAAAACCCTTCAGAGAAGAGGTCCCCATTTTAACCAAATAACCAGATGGATACATACATTTGTTTTAAATAAAAATACTATAAATTTGAGACCAAAACTGGAAGACAAAATCAGACTTATGTTCCCCACGTGAGACACTTTCCAACTGTCCCTGCAGACTGGGTGATCACACAAGTCTCAAGTATGCACACTTGGAGTGAATAAAGTTTACGATTGCAGCGTCACATTTTTCTGCCAAGACCTTCTACCCTGTGTTCATTCATTTGCTGTTAGCCTTGGCCCAGCATGTTAGGTGCAAACGTTGGCAGTGGAGAACCAAAGATGAACCCAACGTGGCACCTACTGGCTGGAAGTCTAAGATCCAGTGCGGATCACCCAAGTCCCCAGGATGTCACTGCCTTTGTCTAAACAATGGCACTGGAGGCTGGAGAAGGGGAGACAGCTAGCATCCTTACCTCCACATTCAGACACATTCCAGGCTTCTGAAGTCTTCAGGGCCCCAATATTTTCTGGTCTTGGGCATGGTTCACAAGTGACTTGTCCTTCCTCATTTTGGAAGGTTCCATTTGGACATAAAATGCAGCGTTCTTGTGCTCCATCATAATATGTTCCAGCCCTGCAACTGACTAGCCAAAAGGGGGAACAATCTGGTCACTTCAGGACAGAAGCTGAGAGAGGACAGTGAGTGTGGGAATGAAGGTAAATAGTGCTGCCCATACAGACCCCGTGCAGACCCCTGAATGCAGAGTGTGGGGGCACTTCTGGGTTTCCATGCACATCTCTCTCCTGTGGCCCCTGTTCTAGCACTTATAGGTTTCTCTCTCCTTTGACCATGAGCTTCTTGGGGTCAACGATCATAGGAGTCTTGATTATTCTTGAGGCAGAAACAAATTTGATAGTTGAAATGACATTTTAAAAATTCTGGACCTTCCTATTTCACAGGGCTATCAGAGGAGAATAATGGCAAAACGTTACTCACTGAATGTAACTCTAGTGCTGGAAAAGCAGAAACGGAGGTGTTATTAATTCTGGCTGATGACATCCTAGCAAGTTTCCTAGAGAGGGTCATATTCATGTCGGGTCTTGAAGGATAAGAAGAGATTCCCCAGGTGGAAAAGGGGACAAATCATAAAAATTCACACATGACATGTGGGAGCGGAGGGAGGAAAGGAAAGTTGAGGGTAGACTGCAAAAGTTCTCTGAGTGCCAGGTATTTGGATTTGATTCTGCAGAGAAAGGAACATGATCAACAGCTGTGTGTTGAAAAGCACTCCCTCTGGCGGCTGGGGTGTGTATGACCTCAGGGCTTGTACACTACATCACGTTTTTGGTTAGTATAAAATTAACATATTCCAAATAGTATATTCTTATTATTTCTTTTGAGACATGATCTTGCTATATCATTCAGGCTGGACTTAACTCACTAGGTAGTCCAGGCTGGCTTTGAACTTGCAGCAATCCTCCTGCCTCAGCCTTGGAGTATGGGGATTACAAGCCTGTGCCAACATGCTTGGCTCCAAGCAGTAAATGCCTGTAAATATCTCCAGAAAGAATAAGCAATAAGGAAATTCATAATCTGGATTTAAACTTATTTTATGCTATGCATATGAAATAAATGTGACAAATTTGGCTCTCTGATAATCATATTCGAGCATCATTTCATAGCCATCAAAAGAGCTTAATAGCTAACATTTGTTAAGTATTTACAATAAACAACTAGACACTATGCTAATAGCTTTGCATAAATTATCTCATTTATTCCTCAACACACCCCCAAGGAGCGAAGTGCTATTATTAACTCCATTTTAGAGAGACAGAGATTATGTAGGTTAAATGAGGCCCCAGAGTTACTTTGCGAAATATACCTAAGATCAACAGCTGAGTGTTTGAAGCAAGAAGGAGATTATTTAACAAAAGTGCAGGTGGAAGAACAATTCAAGCATTTGTAAAGGATTGTCTGTGGGGTCAGAAGAGTTTGAATGGAATAAACATATTTTCTTTTATGCTTAAACTGCCAAGAAATAGGAAAAATATCACTTGATAAAGTTAACTATTATATCTCTCAGATATCTTTAAAGGGGGAAACCTCTCCTACAAATGAAATTTTTCTATATAATCTTAGGGTCAAACATGGCAAAGCTGTCTAACATCTGTAATAAAAGTGTTTTCATTATTCACTCCAAAATCTTCTTTCAAAGTAAGGCTTTTGGATCGTAGTTAGCAAAGACATGCCACATTTCCAATGTTTTTGCAATCAAATGCCAACACCCAGTGAAGTCTACTTTAATATCTAAATCTCTATGCTTTAGGTTATCATTTGGCTTTTCTTTTACAACATTTTAGTATCATGTTTATAGAATTTTATGATCTTTTTTAAACTAAAAAAATTAAAGCTGAACTTACCTCTTCCTTTCATGGCAAACAACAGTATAATAAATGGAATGTACGCATCTGTGGCCAGCAATCTAAAGCTCCACACTTCCTCCCTAAAAGCAGCCCTACTGCCCAGTGTTCTCCATACTCTCTGCCTCCAGCCTATGTCTTAAAGAGCTGGGCTGAATTATGAACCAAGAACTGGACACACGTGTCACACTGTACCCCACCTGGCTATCCCAGTGTCTAAAACAGGCTAGAAGGTAAAGAGAAGGACTTTGTGACTCTCAAGAGCTGCACTGTCATGAAGATTAGCAGAAAGTAAATTTAAAAAGCCAGAATGATTTCCATTTCAGGAAGAGCTGTTTTCGCCTCTAGGGAAAGCACCCTTCTGGAGAACTGGCTCCCCAGTTGTCTCTGTGGCTAAGATGGTGACAGTGCTGACACAGAGGCAGATCAGAGCTGGCTATTGTCAAGGCTCCTCTGGCAGAGTATGGGTCCCCTCTGCTGATGGACAAGCCCAGGCCTGGTTTTCACTGACCCAGAATGAACGGGCTCAGACCCTCAGGGTGTCCCTCCTCTTTGGAACTTTTTAAACCCCCAAAGCTTTCTCAAGGTTCCATTTTGAAAGGCCTCACAATATGGCACATCTGCTGCAATTTCCTAGCTGATCAAAGGGCTGAGAAATGCCCCTCGGGCTGCCCTCTGGGAAAGAGGGCCGCCTTCGCTTTCCTGCCAGTGAAAGGCCCACTTCACATAAACAACCCAGTTGTCACTCATGATTTCCATTTTCCAGAGAGAAAGACCTTCAGAAATAATTCATGCCAAGAACCTTCCAAACAGATTCGTTTCTTTCACAAGGTAAAAATGAGCTAAACACTAAGAACTGACTCTGAATGTCCTGCAGGGACAAATGTGCTGGAGATCTGGCCTCAGTCACCCGTCCAGTTGCCTCTCTCTTTTCCTTGAGTAGCCAGCTTGTGCCGCTGCCCAGACAAAGGAGGCAATTGCCCCAGAACACTTCGCTATCACAGCGGAGCTTTTGTGCATCTTCAGTGACCATTAAAATCCAATTCTTAAATTCCACATAGCTGTTTTCTCCCCCTTTAAAAAAAAATACCAGAAAGCTTTTCTGATGCAAAAGGGGAGACCAGTGGAGACCAGGATTAATGGTGAAAAAGAGGGCTAAAGCTTTGCCCTCTGTTCAGCCTGGTGGCCTTTGAGTATCTCAGGCTGACAAACACTATGGCCTCTCTGTGGCTAAGATGGTGAGCCTAATAAAAGGGGTCACTCTCTAGCATCTCCTTGTTTTCTTAAGAATCATGCCTTGACTTCTGAAGGACAGTCACTAGCAGCCCACTGGGATTCCCAGGGAGTCCCAGGGCTGCTAAGTGTCCCAGCTAGGTTACAGTGGCACCTCAGGCAGTGGTGTGGCCTTGGGCTCTGGTTTGAGCCCCTCTTAAACAACTGTTTTGGGACAAGAGTGACAGCGCCTCCTCGGGCTGAGTGGTTGGGTTTTCATTGTCTTTCTGGGATTTTGGTGTGTGCTTAGGTTTGTTATTTGAAAAACTTTTAGTTGGGGCAGAGAAATAAGCTCAGCAAGGTGCCTTCCATGCAGGTTCCCAAGTGTGTGTTATGTTTTCTGCATGGCTCATTAACTGTAGCTAATATGTCACTTCCTTTAGAAGGCTTTTTTGTCCTCCACTGAAGTGTGTCCCCAAAGATTTGCATTTTGCCCTCTTTGCATGTTGTCGGCTGTCCATGGGATTTCATCTGTTGTTGATGGGAAGATCCATTCACTCATTCATAAATATTACTAAGTTTGGACCAGTGTCGGATACCGCTGTACGAGGTGGAGGAGGAGCGGGAAAGGTGGCACATGTGCCCTAACGGACCCTCATTCTTGTGGAGTCTATGGACTGCAAACAGACAAACATTTATCGAATACCAGGCAGTGAGTGGGGTGAAGAGGAAAAGGACAACGAGGTAGGGGACAGAGTGCTGGTGGGGAGCTGTGATGCATGCTGTTTCTTGGGTGGCCAAGAAAGACCTCTTCAGGTAGAGACCAGAAGGGAACGAGGAAAACAGATTGCAATGGGATTGCCTAACAGCAGAAGCTCTGTGATTCAGGGATGTGGTGGAGGGCAGGTGACAGGAAATGCATTTTATAAAGCAGGCAAGAGCCAGAGCACACCGGCTCTGAATGACTGCAATGGGAAAACTGGGGCTCACACAAAATGTGTTTTGGTTCTGCCTGGGGAGCAATGTGATGATGTCTCTAAGCGATCTTCCGTGCCGCGGGCAGAAGGCAGGTGAGGGGAAGGCAAGCACTGAGAGCCTGCTGCGCAGACCGTGGACAGGAGCAAGGCTTGGTACAACATTGTAATAGTGGAGGAAGACAAAAACACATCAGGAGGCAGAGAAGATGGGACTTGCCAGTGGACTGGGTAGGAAATATGGCCAGAGAGAGGTCATGAAGATTGAGGTTTTTTGCCTTGAGTAACTGAGCAAATGCAGATGCTATTTATTGAGAAAAGGGAGAAGCAGGTTTGATTGGGAGGGAGGAGGACACTTGGAGTTTGAGGTGCCTGCTGCTACTGTTGGTATTCTGCTTGTTGATATGGACAAGGCGTGGTTGTCTATTGGTCTCCAAAGGAGGATAGCATACCTCGGGGACTTACAGAATGGTCTGACATGGCCTGTAATCCCAGCACTCCGGGAGGCTTAAGCAGGAGAACCACAAGGTCAAGCCCAGCCTTGGCAACTTAGTGGGACCCTTTCTCAAAATAAAAAATTTTATAAAGGGGCTGGGCATGCACAAAAGTCCTGGGTCCAAACCCCAGTACTAGTAGAAAGAGAGAGACACAGACAGAGAGAGACAGATAGTCAGTCTGAAAGAAGGGCATGATCCACTGGGGATGGGCAACGCACTCTTGGGTCTATGTACATTCCTTTTTACCTAGTAAGATTAAGTCTATGGTGCAAGGCTGAGTCCACCTCCCCCTGGGTCACAGGACACACACGAGTTGGAAGGACTCTGAGAAAAGGAGAAGACAGGCAGCTCACAACCCAGGGTGAGCAGAGAGACTGGCTGACGTGCTTGCTTTCAATGTGCTGAGAGCAATTATAGTTTAACAATGCCTGTTAAATACAGGTACTGGCTACATTATCGGCTTTCAGTCAAAGGGACCATCACAGAGCAATGGAACGCAGCTTCAGATGAGGCTGTTAAGAACAGCAGCACCATCTGAGA